TCTGCGAAGCGGCGCCTAGCGTTCTCAAACGCACTAATGTAACGTGGTGTATCGTCTGGGTCCTTGAGTTTTTCGGCAAACAGCTGTGCGCGAAGTTCAAATTGAGACGTGACGTCTAGACGTCCAAAATGAGTTGCTAAGGTATTCCATTGTTCTCTCGCAGTCCAGGACTCGTTGAGGAGACCTTGAACAACAGCTGAGAGTTTCCTACAGACAATACCTTTCGCCTGCGCGTTGTAGGGATTCATTTCTGGCTGGGCTTGTAGAGACTGTTTTTACCTTACCTTATGTTGGCACTTTTGTAGCTTACATAAGGAAGTTATCTTTTCACCAGTTACCAGTAGGAGTCAGAGTCTTCAGTAGTTTTTCATGATATTTCCTCCCCTCTGAGCCTTGAGCCTGGTCCAGAAACCCTTTAGGGTCGAATAGCAGCTAGGTTCTGCAAGACCCAACATTGTTCAGACTCACTCTCTGAATTGTTGTACCTTCAGCGTCCTCCTTGATCCAGTCAATAATGTTCTGTTTTTCGGTGGCGGTAGGAGACCCAGCGACTGCCGGAGAGGGCATGACTGTGGCAAATTCCGCGTAATTATTAGGGTCGGTACCAGAACTACAGTGGTTCCATAGTCCGTCCCCTTGAAGAGCGAGGGTCACTGCGCGACGCCAGGAAGGATAATCATCTGTGCCGGTTAGTTCGATGATGAAGTCGTACTTCCCCATGACGATGAGGTACTGGGGGGGAAGTTCGAGGAGTTTGGTGCAGACCTGCAGCGGGAACGTTATACGTTAATGCGAGAGTCGTCGACTTCGTGGGTGTCTGAGCTTTGCTAGAGCTCAGGGCTCATAACCTGTACGAAGCTAGGACAAGTCTCAGCGGGACGTGATAAACGACGCTAACATTGAATCTACCTAGGACAAGTCTAGGGTACGTCAGCAAGGGTCAAGTACTAGTGAGCAAGAAGGCATACCTCAGCGGGACGTGATAAACGACGCTGAGGTGAAACTACGGGGACAAGAACATATAAGTAAGGGAACCTAAGCGAAGGAAGCTGCCGGTGACATCAGTACCGGCGAGGACGACATATGGTGCAGAAGGTGCCAAGAGATGATAAGAACTAGAAAAGGTAAAGGATGATAACGACTGGAAAAGGTAAAGTAAAGAAGCTCCGGAGGTTAATCCTCCGGAGATGGTAGCATGTGTCTGTGTTACATCATCGATCGTCAACACTCTGCAGGGGAAGTGGATCAATGACCTCCAGGTAATATGCAAAAGTATTGAGTATGACATCTGTGAGAAATGGACCCTCTTTCACCTGTACAAGTCAAGTTGGTGGAGGAAATAAAGAGCATATATCACTTACAATGTGCTGAGAGTCAGTATCATCAACTGAACACCACATAAAGGGATAGATAGGTGGATTTACAAGTAATCGTTGTCCATCATCTCTAACTTCTTCCTTTGGTTCAGGAACAGCCCAAGCAACCCAATCTGCAATATCATCAGGCTCATCAAAATTTTCATAATTAGTGAAAAAGTCGATAACAGCAAGCTCAGACCGTTTTGCAAGGGTTTTGCGAAAATCATATGTTCGTTGTTTAAGCTAAAAATGACTAAGACAATGAATGATATGAAGGGTTAGCGCTCACCAGATACCAGACTGGTTCATTCTTTTTGGTCAACTGGTGGGTTGAATCGACGAAGAGTTTGTCCCAGAGCTCCTGAGCTGAAGAAAGATGCGGAATCAAATCCCAAGGATTATCCAAGCACCCCACAAAGTTAATCCACATCGGAATTGCTCTTGCTTTGAAGGTGGCAAGTGATGCACATCTAGGAAGATCTTCATCTTTAAATGTATGTTGTCTTTTCTCTGAGCTAGTAGCTTGGACTCTTGAGCTTTTAGGCAGCTTCTCCTTGAAGACATCTAAAGATCAAGAGACACTGTTGGAAGTTTCCTAAAATAAAATGAAACAAAATGACATGAAACAAAGTTGACAGCATACACTTGGCCGCTCACTTTAACATTATGTTTAGCATGAACATGTTTTTGCCTCGTCATTGACGACTTGGTACTAGGTTCAGATGCTCTTTTCAGATGAGCTGACTTGAGTTTCTTAGTGGCCACCTTGTTGCATGATGAAGGCGTCTTTGCCATATTTTTCTTCTGAGACACCTTCTATCAAAGAGTGTTCCAATATGAGTTGTGTGAACAGAATTTGGAAACACTTACTTTCTTATTAGTGTCATCTGAATCTTCTTCATCTAAGAGGTCGTCTGAGTAGTCCTTCTGTTTGAAAATGACCCAATGTCACTAGTATCGTTGGGAGAATATATAAATATTCACCTTCTGCTGAAACACATCTGAATCTTCTTCCGTAGAGTCTAACTCCTGTTGAAAAGTAGTGATGTAAGTGTGATCAAGGGAAAATATTTTGATCCATACCTTCTTATAGTCTTCCAGTGGGCTAGGTTCCTAAAGATCTTCTATATAATCTTCTATACGGTCTCCCTCCCTATCTGAGCTATTCTGTTGCAGATGACTGAGAGCGGTGAGGTCCTGAAAGTAAAGGTGATCATCTTTGATGTCATTTGTATCTCCACTTGGGTGTGACCTACTGCCAATATTTGCTCTAAGTTAAGGAGGTTACCTATGGCAAGGTCTTTCAGTTTGTATGACTGCATTCAAGCACAAAAAACTTACTACATGATGATTGAGTTATGATAGCGGTCGACTTCTGGTTCTGCAATTGGTTTGGAGGCGGAGGGATGTTGTTGTCGTCCATATCTTCAAATACACTACTGTAAGGTTGAACGCCTGTGATATTTATGAGCAAATGTAAAATTATAAGGCAAAGATAATGATAATACACTGGTTATGAGATTGTGATTCCGATACCATGTCTAAAGCAGAAGACTTCGGTTTTGAAGACGCTCTCACATTGGGAACTTCGTCTGCAACTATTGAGTGCCAATTTGGAAGTGTACCACTTGTAATTCCAGGAGGTGAAGAAGTCTTGCTTGTGTGCGCCTGTTTGGATTTCTTGCTTGGTGGTCTGCAGATACGACATGAAACAGTAATAATCATGGTTGAAGGTTTAAATTATCAGTCCAGATGACAAGAAAGGATAGAAGAAGAAAGACTTATGCATTGGTATCATTGCTTACTTGAGATTGCTGGCACCTGTTTGCAATTTCCTCCCTTGCACTCACACAAGACTTTGAAGTTCTATTGGTCTCTGCTCCACCGTCATTAATAATCATATCTGAGTCTACTTCATCATCAGCTTCAGCATCGACTTGAATATTCCCCCTAGAATCTTGGAGTTCTTGGTTAGTATTATGAATAACTTGTGTAGTCTGAAGAGTGTACCTGAAGATATTTGAGATTTGCCTCCAGGTTGTCTCACAGCTTTCTTGCTTGCCGGTCCAGGAGGGCAGAATGCCTGACTTTTTTGCAGGTTAGCTTCATCAGCAAGGTCGTTCTGCACCTTTGCAACTTTGGCCATTTTGCCTGCCCTTTCATTTGCCTTGATGCGTTGTTTTGCTCTGGCTGCCTTTACCTTGGCTGATTCCTTGTGTTCAACATCTGACCCATCATCTAAACCATTGTCCCTTGTACGTTTTCTACTGGCAGGCCAGTCCACAAGTCCAGGGTGAGCATCCTTGTTTGATGGGCGTGTTTTCATCAGCACTAAGAAGAGTAATGTAGCCCAGCTGCGTCTGAGACTGAGACTGAACTGTTCAGTACCAAGAGTTTGTGAAAGAGGTGAGTGAAATCTAAAGATGTGAGGATAAATAATTTCAAAGTTCATACAAATTTTCACAGAATATTAGTTTTATATTCAAGTTTTTCGAACTCTCCACCTAAATATCACTAGAAAAATCTAAAGAACTTTAGTTCAAGTACACATTGTGTTGCCACCCATTCCGCTGTAGAACTTAGGCTCGCACTGAGCACATATTCAGCTAATTCACAACGCATGTCAAACACTCGAATCACTTCCCAATGTTATCCGACACTTATCCGCTCAATCCAATGTTTATCCGCTAACCCGACGCTAATCCGACGGACCTGACGTTTCCCGTGCATCGGACCTGATATTTTTCCGCGCACTTGTCCTCCCTATGTCCTGTCCTGTTATATCTATCCCCACTAGGTGCACAGTTATCAGGTTTCACACTGCTAACACTGTAGACCGCATTATTACATGTCCGCAGTACCACATGTCTTATTACATAGGACATCGGATCCGAAAATTACCGCTACTACTTTCGCCTATAGTGCTCCGAAATTCTACATATACACTATATATTTTACATGCCTCCTACTTACTTATTTACCTTTCTACCTCTGAGTAGGAGGAGTTCATTAGATATTTGTAGTTCTTGGTTGAATTCCGCAAATATCATTGTTTCTTTATCCGAAACACTCTGAAAATACTGACAGTAACCCGCCATTCACTGTCCCGACATTCATTACATTCCCGACATTCATTACATTCCCGACATTCATTACATTCCCGACACTAACCCGACGAAATCCGCTAACCCGAAACCTGAAAACATCAGACCCAACATTTTTACCTTCGGACTCTGTTTCCCGCGCTTCGGACTATCTCCCTTTTCATATAACTAATTATTCTAATACCTTACAGTGAACCCCTTGGGTTGAACACACTTGTCTTGCAAGTATAGCAGACTAGGCTGTGCAGACCACAACTTTTATATTGCTGATTACTTACTTCATATAGTATCCAGCAATTGTTGTCTCGTTACACCGCCCATCTTGCCACTTGGAAAATTCCCTATCCATCTGTAGAACAAAAGAAGCTCTCTTCCCCTCATATTCTAAGTTGAAATGAGTTGTTTTGTCAGAGCCAAATATTGCGAAGTCCCCATTCCTAAGCTCCAAAACCAGACCCGGCTCTTTCAAACACAGAGCACCACCTGTGAATTGACCTAGAGCTAAGACCAAACAAAGATCTTTGTCTTTACCGTCTCTGTGGGACAAAGTGCAAACATTAATGTTCACAACCAGAGATACAAAAGGAGCCACTGGTGAACCAGGACTTCCTGGCAACAAATCAATGATCTCAATTAAAACTTTGTATTCTTCTGGTAGATGTGTCTGAAACTGATAGTGTGTAGTTAGAACCAGTAAGGTGATCGACTAATATGACACATACTATAGTCTCAATCCACTCAAAAACGTCTTGAAAGGCGGTGACCAAGTTAGCGAAAAGCTGTCCAAAATCCTCCATGTCGTTTGAGGGGTATGGAATCATTTGAGAGAAATTTGTGTGACTGGTGTTCTGAATGTGTAGATTGTGAGGGTGCACTTCAGAAGGTGCTCCTTCACCCTATATCGTGAGTTGAATAATCATATTCACCAAGAATTTGAAAAAGCTTACTTGTGTAGCATATCGATTATACCAAGAGAAATGAGCACAAGTAAATGCTTGGCCATGATCAGCTGGTGTATAATATGTGAGGCTAGGGATGCCATCAAAGCATGCTATGAGGTTCTCATGCAAAGTCTCCCTCATATTCGCAGGCATCGCACTACAAATGAATGCCATAAGAGAGCCATCCTTATTGCATATGTCGACAGTGCCACTATCAGTTTCGAAGGTTAGCCAATTTAAGAGAGTCAAGAGTAGGACTTACTCAACAAGTGCAGACATAGAAATACGTAGATATTGTCTAGGCAGTTTGTATCCTTCTGGGTAGAAGACTTGCAGCTGCATAAATAAATATTATATTTATTATCCTAGGAGTAAGCGTGAATGCACCTTAGACTCAAGCATGGCCAAATCTGTGATTAAATGACCAGCACTAGCTAGTTTTCTCTCATGTGCAGTCGCTGCAACATTTTCATCATGATTAAGGCTCATGAAGCAGCGATTTTGTGGCAAGTTGCGATCATAATTGGTGTAGATTACTTTTGCTGAAAGTTGCTGAGATGATGCTTGATTAGTGACTGAAGAAGCAGATGATTCACCGGAGGATGAGTCCAAGGGAGGGATCGTCATGCCTCTATTCAAAGAGTCTGAGAGAAATTGGTGCTCTAAGAAAGAGATAAGTAGTGGATTGTCATGGACCACATTAAGACAAGGTTTCCATGCTGAATGATTCCGAGAGGATAGTTTCCAGTTGCTAACATGAAGGATTGTTAGCAGTTACAGCCTGACCCTCGAGTAAGATAATGAAAGGCATCGACTCACCTGAATTTGATCTTATCAAAAAAACTATCAGAACTCTTGAGATTAGTGCAGTCTATGCTGTTGAGAGCAAGCGGAAGACTTTTGTGAAGTAGAGTTATTGTAGGAATGATACGCGAGGTTATAAGCTTTGCAACATCAACATCTAATGATTGAAGAGCTTGGATAATCTTTCTTTGAAAGGCATCATATGCAACTCACTGGCACTATCAGGATTTTGTAACATTTTCCCCAAATTCCAAGAAACCTGTGTATTAGCCTTCACTATACACCAGTGTAGGTCTAGGCCTGCTATAAGGACAAGTGCATATATACTTCCTCCTCCTGCAATGAGCACATATCTCCCTCCTTGATTGACCCACCCTCTGAAAGTTCTCAGAGATGGTGCTCCAGTCATGTTAGCAATTTCAGCTTCATAGACATCACCAATATTTCATAAAGTACTGTCTGGAGATATCAGACTACTGTGCATCAGCTCAAAAAGTTAGCACAAATATTCAAAACCTCACCTTTGAGTTTCGACAAGGAGCTGAATTTGATTGATCATAAGGAGAAAGTTGCCACCAACCTCCTTGGCAGAGAGAACTCTGCATCTCCTCACTACAGATTGCAGCGAGTTGTTCAAAGAATTCCGAGCTTCAACGACTTGAGAGCTAATGCTTTCAATCCACCTTTCATCATTGTACATCCTGGAGTCTGTGTGGGAAGCCGCCATACTTGAGATCAGCCCATCAGCTGTTGCATTACTCGTGGTGGCCATGTCCTTGCCGTGAGTCCACTGTGCAGGAACATTCATGTGTCGACCATTCTGACGGCATGTGCGTTGAAGCACTGGTTGATGCTGAAGCTGTAGTAGATGCTCAGCGCTGAGGCAGCAGTAAATGCTGAGATGGAGGTAACATTACCGGTTGGACAGCCACGCTGGCTCGTTCATCAGCATCTAAGTTCATTGGGCCATTTGGAGATACTGATGGCGATGTCATTGAAGTGGGAGGTTGTAAATGCTGAAGTAACTGTGTAGCATTGTCACCTAGTAGATAGAGACCCTGCAAGATGAGCTGATATTCTGCTGCAGTGACGTTTAGTTGTACTAATTGATGAGAAGCCATCAAATAGTTAGCTTTATGCAGTAGTTCAAGAAAGCTGGTGTGAGAAGGTGTGAGAAGGCGGGAGTGCATACATCTGCAATCCCGACCCCGCCCCTACCCGCCACCTCGCAATTGCCACTGCTACATAGATAATATTCAATTTTGATGATTTGCTTCTTAGGAACCTAGTTATAGCAGGTCATGATTCAGTCTTCGAAGCTTAAAGTTTACATACTATATGTGGGCCACCAATTGCCTCGCGGTCGCGAGCACTTGATTTGATGTGGTTCCAGAGTCCCTCTAAATGACATAGATTAAAATTTCCATGGATGTACAGTTGACTATCACCGCTGAGACGCATCTTGCTCTGGACATCAAACTGGGGATCACACTCGGTGGGAGCCTCATGGAGGCATACACCACAAAATGTGGTTTTGCGATGCTCGCGACACACGAATATCACGCCCAAACTTTGGTGTTCATTTTGTGGCTCCGAGGCCAATGGACAAGCAAGGTAAATTGATGAATGGTAGCTCATAGTGCGAAAATGGGTGTGAGGAGGTAAATGGTAAGGCTGTGGTGTGATGGTTGCAGCACCTGCAGCCCCATAGCAGCCGCACCAGTCAGAGGTCTGAAATCCTCCATTCCATCACATCTATGGATAGCCTTGACCTGCTGTTGCTTGGCATATGCCTGGGCAGGAGAGGTTGGTTAGAGCTGTTATGGATGCGGTTCGTATGAAAACCTACCTTGACTGCCGTGTTCTCAAACTCAAAGTTTCCAGCATTGGCAACCAATCCTTGGATATTTTTGAGGCCCGGCCGGTGGACGAGCATGACAGAAACGCCCTTGAAGGAGTTCTTTAACTGCCTGAACTGTGGTGAATCTGGGCAGAGGCCCAGTGCTTGAATGTTATTCTGCTTGAGAACAGCAAGAGTGGCGGTCTGAAACTGGTGGAGGAGTGTGACAGAATTAGCATTGAAAAACGGCCCCAAGTCAGATTCAAAAAGTGAAGGGACTCAGAGTATGAGTATGTCACACACTGGACATCCGGATCACCTACAAAAGGCTTGTCCGGACGTGCGCAACCTACCAAGTTGGTTCACCTACAGAAGGCCGGCCAGCTCAGGAAGAGATGATGGAAAGTTCCAAGTAGAACTTGAAGCAGGAACAAGTAAACAAAGACTTACACGAAAGACGACTCTGGCAATGATCCAAGGCAGTATCATCATCATATGACAAATAGTGGTAGTATTTCTATATGAGAATGTCAGTCAAAAGTATGCTGAAAAGTTTGATTGTACCTTCTAATCACACAAAATTGCAGTGTTACAGTAACACACCATGCAGGGGGCCAATGTTAATGACCGTCAAGGAAGATGGGAGGCAATGGAGAAGAGATATCATGTGTCATGTGACCGTATTGTCTAAGTCACCATTTATGGCAACTGAGTAGGATGGGGAGGGCGGAAGTGCGAATTCTAGTGGGCAACGTGAGTGAAGTTCGTAAATTTTCGCAGGTAAACATGTGACTTTGTTTATTGCTAGTGCTGTCCACCATTAATCACATGTACTGGCGACCACTTTGAACATGTGTTTGCATTGCCACAACCTCCTGAAGATCCAACAAATGAGGAATCTTCAACTCAACGAAATTCTAGGTGTCTTCTTAAGCTGTAGAGGTGCATGTATTGTGCTTTTTCATACTTCATCATCACACTAACCTGCCGTTAGCAGTGATGGCCCCGACTCAACCCTTCTCCTCTCCTCATGTACACCCGCCATATCCTTCTCCTTACCTCTATCCTCTAAACAACACTTTTATCATATCTCCCTTCACAATGGCCACCACATAAAGATCGGGCGTCAGACAAACACAAAGACAATCCCAGGAGAGAGAAACAGCTATTTCGACTCAAAAGTACTAAGCAGACAACATGCAGAGATTTGGGAGGACAGTGGAAAGGTGTGTCTTGTTCCCTGTTTTCGAGGGGGAAGACTGACGGACGTGGCGGAAGATATACATCAAAGATGTGAAAAGTTCTAATGGCACTTTCATCAATGGAGAGCGACTCAGCCCAGAAGGAGTCGAGTCTGAGCCATTTGAGCTCAAAAATGATGATATCGTGGTATGTTTTCCCTTACTTTTCCCCCGTCTGACCCACCCAACCCGTTCGCAGGAATTCGGTATTGACATCAGTGGTGAAGACAACAAGACCACAATCCACCACAAAGTTGCTGCACGCATCATGTGCGTATTCACAGATGAAGATGTGCACCTCGCTGCCCGCATAGAGGTCATCCCATCATCCACCTCTCTTCCCCCCAATATCCCCTCTGTCCTTCCTCCCGCCACTTCATCATCTGGAAGTTGTTACAATAACATTTAGAGAGGCCCCTATACTCATTTTCCTTTTGCTTCTTAAACGGGCCATCCGTACCACGCTTATCTCTTATCATGCCTATCTCTTATCTTGCCAAGCGGGCTGTCCGCCTCTTCTTTGCTTCTATCTTGATAACACATTTACAAGCTCCGCTTGAACACTGGTATATAAACCTACCTACCCATGGTTGTATTCTTCACTTTAATCTACTGGGTTTTACCTGGAACATTGTCCTTCAGCAAGGTCTCCAACCTTGCTGCCTGTTACAACTGGGATGAGTCGAGCTATCTCTGTCTGAGTAGACAATCGGCAGAATGCCAGATAGACGTAAGTCTGCTCTCGATTGAGAGATCAAGTATTCTGGCTAAGGCGAGTGTCGCTGACTCCCTTAGAATAGTGGTTCTTAGGCAGTAAGGTTGGAGACCTTACTGAAGGACAATGTTCCAGGTAAAACCCAGTAGATTAAAGTAGAGAATACAACTGTAGGTATGTAGGTTTATATACCAGTGTTCAAGCGGAGCTTGTAAATGCGTTATCAAGATAGAAGCAAAAAGAGAGGCGGACAGCCCGCTTAGCGAGATAAGAGTCAGGATAAGAGATAGGCATGATAAGAGATAAGCGTGGTACGGACGGCCCGTTTAAGAAGCAAAGGAAAATGAGTATAGGGGCCTCTCTAAATGTTATTGTAACATTACCCCCCTGTTACGGTTGAAGTCTCCGACTTCAATTTTCTTCGTTGTCGCAGTATTCGTTCATGTAGTCGTAGTGGATGGGATCTGCGTCAGCGTTGCAGAACTCTGGTTCATTATACCTGGTGGCGTAATCCCGGTTCGCCCTTTCTATTTCTTCCAGAAGTTCTTCATCTTTCCTGGCCTCCCACGTCGCTAATGCTTCATAGAAGCCTTCATCGGTATAAACCAATGGGAACAGTTCTTTCTTTGCTGCGTAAGGGCAGTAGATGGAAAGATGGCCGGGTTTCTGGGCCTGGCAGATGCGGCAGTAATATTCGGGGCAATTCTTGTGACGATGCCCAAGTTTTTTGCAGACGTGGCAGACGAAATTGTCCGCGGAAAACTGAGGTTGTTTTACAGTGATGACGTCGGGGGTTTCGGTGAGGTCAATGACTTCACGCTTCTTTCCCTTAGAAGCTCTAGTCTTTGACACTCCGTGCACGGTAGCCCCTCTGCGGGTCTTTCGTTTGAAGACGACGGTGGGTTCGGGGATGGGGAGTGGTTCTTCGACTGGTGTTGGTTGAGTAGCAGGCTGAGTTTCTTCTCCAGCCGTATCTGCAGCAGGTACGTTGCTGGGGGGAGCGCTAGTAAAAGGACTTGGCGGGCGACCGACTTCGGTCTGGTTTCGTTCTTCAACAGTCCGTATAACTGACTTGCAGATAGTGCTAAAAGCAGAAGGAAGCAGCTGAATCTCAAGGCTGCGTATTTGTCTCTGGAGGTGCTGGCATGCGAGTCTGAGGGCATCGTTTTCGATTTCTTTGAGTCTGAGCTCAAGGGCGGCGGTGGCGCGTATGATGTGAATCTGGGATATGACAGGGGCGGCAGCGGACGCGGGTGCTTCAGCGAGCTGTTTCTCAAGCTCAATTGCGTGGGGAAGGGACAGCAGAGTGGTCTCGACGATGGCGTCGTCGTCTAGATTAAGGATGTTCTTTTTGTACGAAGAGTTTCCGAGTGAGTGCGAGGAAGATGACGATCCAGTAGGGGAAGGTGTCAAAGGTGGAGTCATGTTACTTGGGATTTGTTTGTGGAGAGGGAATGATTCGTTCAGTTCAACTTGTGTCTCTTCTTATACGTGGTCAAGAGTTCTTTCGAACTCCGCAAGTTTTCCTCGGGTATCCATTCGTTGCTTCCGGAGGAATAGCCTATCCATGATACCAGATAGCGTCTTCGTTTACCCGTGCCCTTATGGCTAAGAATAGCTTCTACTTTGTATTCTTCTTCGCCATTGATAATGTCAGGTGGTGGTTCAGCGTAGTTCGGCCCGTGTATCTCTGTTTTGCGATAGGAGGATAGTTCAGAAGCGTGGAACGTGGGGTGGACCTTCCATTGTTCTGGAAGTTTCAGGGTGAACGTGATGGGAGATAAGACCGCGGTGATAAGGAATGGTCCGTATCTCTTGGGCGCAAGTTTCCTAGATGGTAGTGATGTCAGGAGATTGGTGGCCGAGAGCCATACCTTATCTCCCGTCTTCCATGGTCGGTACTTTTCATGGCGAGACCTTTCTGCCATTCGTTGCATAGCGATGTTATGACAGGCGAGAGCTTCTTCTCGTATCTTCTGGAGGTTCCTAAGTCTTTCTTCTGCTGCCGGCGTGTCTGATACAGATAAGATGTGTGGGATTCCTCGTGGTTCATAACCCATCATGAGGAAGAAGGGGGATGTGTTTCTGGCATCGTGTTTCCGATGATTATGGACGAATTCGGCGATAGGAAGATGATTGGACCATTCCAGCGGATTGCTTCTACAGTAGATCCGTAGGTAGGTTTCTAGTTCCTGGTTGAGTCGTTCTGTCTGTCTGTCTGTCTGAGGGTGGTAGGCGGTTGATGCGGCAATCTGATATCCGAGGAGCCGGGCAAGTTCTCGAGAGAATTTCGAAATGAACTGCGGTCCTCTATCTGAGATCACTTTCTCGTGGAGACCGAATCTTTTGAACACGTTTTTGAGAAATAGTTTGGCTACTCCTTCGGAGGTGATGTTTTTGTTGCATGGTGAAATAATTACCCCCTTCGTAAGCCCATGGTCTACCACGATCATGATAGAGTCAAAACCGCCCGATACGGGTAGGTCGGTGATAAGGTCGACAGAGACTTGGGAGAAGGGGCGAGTGGCGATGGAGGGGATCGGGCGCAATGGCGGGGTAACCGGGTGTGTGTCAGCTTTTATCTGCTGACATAAAGCGCATCCGTCGACGTATTTACGGATATAAGTTCCCATGGCTGGCCACCAGAAATCTCGTTTGACGAGTTCTTCCGTCTTGAATCGGCCGGGATGTCCCGCCGTGGGATGATCATGGTGTTTAGACAATACATCATGCCGTTGGGCTGCTGGCACGTAAGCTCTATTTTTATAAAAGAGGACGCCATTGATGCACGTCCAGTCGGAGAGGGCGGATTTCATTGGGGGAAGGCACACTCCGTCCAATGCTTCTAGGGCTTTCTGGTACATGGGGTCGGCGGTGGAGTTGCGTGCAATACTCGCTGACAAATCATTGTCAATTAGTCGTACGAACATGGGTCGAGCGATATCTGAGTAATGAGCGATGAATGTCCGGTAGAAATTGCAGAATCCTAGGAAAGACCGCGTGTCTTTTAGATTTCCCGGGGTTGGCCAATGTTTAATCCCGTCTACTTTGGCGGGTTCCATTCCCACTTCTCCTGGTCGGATCATCATTCCAAGATATTCTACTTCCCGTGCGTCAAAGGTGCATTTTTCTGGTTTAACGAATAGTTTTTCTTTTCGAAGGATGTCGAGGATTTCGATGGTTCGTGCTTGGTATTGCTGAAGATCCTTCGAGAAGATTAGAAGATCGTCCATGTATATGACTAACCATCCTTGGTTTAACTGTTTCTGGCAGAGATTGGTCATGAATGCCTGAAAGGTTGCGGGAGAATTCGTTAATCCAAAAAACATGACCGTTGGCTCGAACAGCCCTTCTTGAGTGGTAAACGCTGCTTTCCATCGATCTTCCGGGTGGATCCTCACGTTATTGTACCCTGATCTTATGTCGATCTTCGTGAAGTACTTGGCGTCATAGAGTTGTTCAATAAGGGATATTGATTTCGTATGGTCCAATCGTTGAGATACCGATAATCTTGGCAGGGGCGCAGTTCTCCGCTTTTCTTTCCTACGAAAAAGAATCCGCTGGCTTGAGGTGACTTAGAGGGGACAATAAAACCTTTTCTGGTGTTTTCTTCGATAAACGTTTTGACAGCTTCTCGTTCTTTTCCCGATAATGGATAGACTTTCGAGGTTTTGGGCACGAATCCAGGTTTGAGGTCGATACGATGATCTACCCCGGGTCTTTCCGGCGGGAGTTTGTTAAGACCATCCTTGGCAAAGACGTCTTGATACTGGTGGAGGAATTGAGGGACGAGTTCTTCGAAAGTTTTCTTTTGTTTTTCTATTTCCCCTGCAACTGCGAATTCTTGGGCTTTATTACTTGTTTTTCCGTAGTTTTGTTCCCTTTTTGATGTTCCGTCTCGAACGAGTGGGGTGTCGAAGGTTATATCTTCTATGATGCGTACGGTGGAGCCATCAGCGGCATACTCGACGAGTACTTCGTCACTGGCCAATTGATAGGCTAGTGGGTCTACGACTGGAGTTTTGAAGTTTTCTGACCAGACGTCTTCCTTCGTATCATAGTTGGGTATTTCTTCATCAACTATTTCCTCTACAGAAGCGGTATAGGGGGAGGTGGTTTCTTTAGTTGCCACCTTCACCTGTATCGGCTTCCGTAGTTTGGAATTTGTCCAAGTTCGGGTCGTTTCTTTTCTGACTTCTTTCTCTTTTCTGAAAAGCGGCGGGAGTGACTTCTTGCGTCTCTTTCTGTCGATGTTTTTTTCTATGGCAAGCGACCTCTTTGTTGATGGGAGTGATACGGTCTTGTCAAAAAGGGAACAAAACTACGGAAAGACAAGTAATAAAGCCCAGGAATTCGCGGTCGCAGGAGAAATAGAAAAACAGAAGAAAACTTTCGAAGAACTCGTTCCCCACTTCCTCCATCAGTATCGAGACGTCTTCGCCAAGGATGGTCTTAACAAACTCCCGCCGGAAAGACCCGGGGTAGATCATCGTATCGACCTCAAACCAGGATTCGTGCCCAAAACGTCAAAAGTCTATCCGCTATCAGGAAAAGAACGAGAAGCTGTCAAAACGTTTATCGAAGAAAACACCAGAAAAGGTTTTATCGTCCCCTCCAAATCACCCCAAGCCAGCGGATTCTTTTTCGTAGGAAAGAAAAGCGGAGAACTGCGTCCCTGTCAAGATTATCGGTATCTCAACGATTGGACTGTACGAAATCAGTATCCCCTCCCCTTGCCAAAATCCCTCATTGAACAACTCTATGACGCCAAGTACTTCACAAAGATCGACATAAGATCAGGGTACAATAACGTGAGGATCCACCCAGAAGATCGATGGAAAGCAGTGTTTACCACTCAAGAAGGACTGTTCGAGCCAACAGTCATGTTTTTTGGATTAACGAATTCCCCCGCAACCTTTCAGGCGTTCATGACCAACCTCTGCCAGAAGCAGATAAACCAGGGATGGCTAGTCATATACATGGACGACCTGTTGATCTTCTCGAAAGATCTTCAGCAGCACCAAGCACGAACCATCGAAATCCTCGACATCCTTCGAAAAGAGAAACTATTCGTTAAACCGGAACAATGCACCTTCGATGCGCGAGAAGTAGAATATCTTGGAATGATGATCCGACCAGGAGAAGTAGGGATGGAACCCGCCAAAGTAGACGGAATTAAACATTGGCCAACCCCGGGGAACCTAAAAGACACACGGTCCTTCCTAGGATTCTGCAATTTCTACCGGACGTTCATCGCTCACTACTCGGATATCGCTCGACCCCTTATCGACCTCACGAAGAAAGACCACCCTTTCGTTTAGACTGACAAATGTCAGAATGCCTTTGACCACCTTAAAAACGCCTTTTTATCGCAACCAGTACTAAGAAACCCGGACCCAACTCGTCAGTTCGCAATTGCTACCGATGCATCATTAGCAGCAACCGGAGCAGTATTGCTGCAGACTGATGACAATGGAATGTACCACCCATGCGGTTACCTATCCCAATCTCTCAACCCCGCAGAACGAAACTATGAAATCTTTGACAGAGAATTGCTAGCGGTCATTCGGGCACTCTCGGAATGGCGCCATTATTTGGAAGGAAGCCCCCACACCGTGATAGTATTCACGGATCATATGAACCTCCTATACTTCCGCTCAGCCCAAAAGCTGACACGAAGACAAGCACGTTGGCAACTCGTCCTTTCCAATTATCAGTTGGAATTGCATCACGTCGCAGGAACCAAATTAGCCGCTCCTGATGCCCTATCTCGACGTCCGGACCATTCACTCGGAAAAGATGATAACGAGAATCGTGTTCTCCTCCCCGATACCATGTTCGTACGACTCATTGACAATGATTTGTCAGGAAGTATTGCACGCCACTCCGCTGAAGACCCCGTATACCAGACCGCCTTGGAAGCATTGGACGGAGTATGCCTTCCCCCGATGAAATCTGCCCTTTCCGATTGGACGTGCATCAATGGCGTCCTCTTTTATAAACATAGAGCTTACGTACCAGCGGCCCAACGGCATGACGTGTTATTCAAACACCATGATCATCCTACGGCGGGACATCCCGGCCGATTTAAGACGGAAGAACTCGTCAAACGAGATTTCTGGTGGCCAGCCATGGGAACTTACATCCGTAAATATGTCGACGGATGCGCGTTGTGTCAGCAAATGAAGGCTGACACACACCCTGTTACCCCGCCATTGCGCCCAATCCCCTCCACCGCCACTCGCCCTTTCTCCCAAGTGTCTGTCGACCTTATCACCGACCTTCCCGTCTCGGGCGGTTTTGACTCTATCATGATCGTGGTAGATCATGGGCTTATGAAGGGGGTAATTATTTCACCATGCAACAAAAACATCACCTCCGAAGGAGTGGCCAAACTATTTCTCAAAAACGTGTTCAAAAGATTTGGCCTCCACGAGAAAGTGATCTCAGATAGAGGACCGCAGTTCATTTCGAAATTTTCTCGAGAACTTGCCCGACTCCTCGGATATCAGATTGCCGCATCGACCGCCTACCACCCCCAGACAGACGGACAAACAGAACGACTCAACCAGGAACTAGAAACCTATTTACGGATCTACTGTAGAAGCAATCCGTTAGAATGGTCCAATCATCTCCCTATCGCCGAATTCGTCCATAATCATCGGAAACACGATGCCAGGAATACCTCCCCGTTCTTCCTCATGATGGGTTACGAACCACGAGGAATCCCACACATCTTATCAGTATCAGACACGCCGGCAGCAGAAGAAAGACTTAGGAACCTCCAGAAGATACGAGAAGAAGCTCTCGCCTGTCATAACATCGCTATGCAACGAATGGCAGAAAGGTCTCGCCATGAAAAGTACCGACCATGGAAGACGGGAGATAAGGTATGGCTCTCGGCCACCAATCTCCTGACATCACTACCATCTAGGAAACTTGCGCCCAAGAGATACGGACCATTCCTTATCACCGCGGTCTTATCTCCCATCACGTTCACCCTGAAACTTCCAGAACAATGGAAGGTCCACCCCACGTTCCACGCTTCTGAACTATCCTCCTATCGCAAAACAGAGATACACGGGCCGAACTACGCTGAACCACCACCTGACATTATCAATGGCGAAGAAGAATACAAAGTAGAAGCTATTCTTAGCCATAAGGGCACGGGTAAACGAAGACGCTATCTGGTATCATGGATAGGCTACTCCTCCGGAAGCAACGAATGGATACCCGAAGAAAACTTGCGGAGTTCGAAAGAACTCTTAACCACGTATAAGAAGAGACACAAGTTGAACTGAACGAATCATTCCCCTACGAACAAATCCCAAGTAACATGTCTCCACCCTTGACACCCTCCCCTACCGGATCATCATCATCATCCTCGCACTCACTCGGAAACTCTTCGTACAAAATGAACATCCTTAACCTAGACGACGACGCCATCGTCGAGACCACTCTGCTGTCCCTTCCCCACGCAATTGAGCTTGAGAAACAGCTCGCTGAAGCACCCGCGTCCGCTGCCGCCCCTGTCATATCCCAGATTCACATCATACGCGCCACCGCCGCCCTTGAGCTCAGACTCAAAGAAATCGAAAACGATGCCCTCAGACTCGCATGCCAGCACCTCCAGAGACAAATACGCAGCCTTGAGATTCAGCTGCTTCCTTCTGCTTTTAGCACTATCTGCAAGTCAGTTATACGGACTGTTGAAGAACGAAACCAGACCGAAGTCGGTCGCCCGCCAAGCCCTTTTACTAGCGCTCCCCCCAGCAACGTACTTGCTGCAGATACGGCTGGAGAAGAAACTCAGCCTGCTGCTCAACCGACACCAGTCGAAGAACCACTCCCCATCCCCGAACCCACCGTCGTCTTCAAACGAAAGACCCGTAGAGGGGCTACCGTGCACGGAGTGTCAAAGACTAGAGCTTCTAAGGGAAAGAAGCGTGAAGTCATTGACCTCACCGAAACCCCCGACGTCATCACTGTAAAACAACCCCAGTTTTCCGCGGACAATTTCGTCTGCCGCGTCTGCAAGAAACTTGGGCACCGTCACAAGAATTGCCCCGAATATTACTGTCGCATCTGCCAGGCCCAGAAACCCGGCCATCTTTCCATTTATTGCCCTTACACTGCGAAGAAAGAACTATTCCCATTGGTTTATACCGATGAAGGCTTCTATGAAGCACTAGCGGCATGGGAGGCCAGGAAAGATGAAGAACTTCTGGAAGAAATAGAAAGGGCGAACCGGGATTACGCCACCAGGTATAATGAACCAGAGTTCTGCAACGCTGACGCGGATCCCATCCACTACGACTACATGAACGAATACTGCGACACCGAAGAATAATTGAAGTCGGAGACTTCAACCGTAACAGGGGGGTAATGTTACAATAACATTTAGAGAGGCCCCTATACTCATTTTCCTTTTGCTTCTTAAACGGGCCGTCCGTACCACGCTTATCTCTTATCATGCCTATCTCTTATCTTGCCAAGCGGGCTGTCCGCCTCTTCTTTGCTTCTATCTTGATAACACATTTACAAGCTCCGCTTGAACACTGGTATATAAACCTACCTACCCATGGTTGTATTCTTCACTTTAATCTACTGGGTTTTACCTGGAACATTGTCCTTCAGCAAGGTCTCCAACCTTGCTGCCTAAGAACCACTATTCTAAGGGAGTCAGCGACACTCGCCTTAGCCAGAAACACTTGATCTCTCAATCGAGAGCAGACTTACATCTATCTGGCATCCTGCCGATTGTCTACTCAGACAGAGATAGCTCGACTCATCCCAGTCGTAACAGAAGTGGTAATAACTTTGGCTTTGTACATCCACAGCGCTGCCCTGCCCTACAGAGCCAGCTCTGCGGTATGGGCGGCAGTATGCGTCCACCGGAAAAAATGGCCTAACCTTTGACCACATATTAAGTAGGCTTCAAGGTGAACTCCAGAAGAGTTGCGAGACCAGTACAGAACTGCACTCCCTAAGCACTGTGATGAATGATATTCACGACACGCTCGGTGGCTCGGTGGTCCATCTTCCATTAATCTCTACATCCATACATACTGACTATCTCCACTCCCACAGCCCCAAAACCTACCACACTTCCCTCAATAACTCCCTTCCATACATTCACAACAAACCTCTGCAAACTCTGCGCCTGCACCTGCATCTGCCATGCCCGCAAATCCAGAACCTCCTGCACCTCCCCTGGAGCACCCTGCCCTTTCCAAGCTGCGCACAGAGCTGCACGAGACCCAAGCCAGCCTCACAAGCCATGTCGACAAGGTCCACACACTCGAGGACATGCTTGCAGAGCACGAGGCCATTAAGGCCGAGGTTGCAGCTCTCCACGACCTCATCCATGCATTATCTGCACATTCCCAGCACGACAATGGTATGAACATAGACTCAGAGCACGGTCGCCGTGGACAAGACGATGATGACAGATCTAGCATTCGTACAGTCACCCCGCATGAGTTAAAGCGCGTTGAGGAAGAGGACGAGAATGAAGAACAGGATGAGAGTGAGGAGGATAGGGAGCATGCACAAAGGAGGGCGGAGCTGGGTAGGCCACGGACGCCGGAGCCATCGGGGATGGGAATGGACGAGGACGAGCTTATGCATGCCTGTGCATCGGATACTGAACCTTCAACATCACGACCACGACCACGATCTCCTTCGCCACAGCCATCGCATCCTGCACTAGACGAGCTCTCAGCACGGCTAGTAGCTCTTAGTGGACACATAGACAGCGCTGTAGAAAAGCACAAGGGTGTGCAACCTCTCACTCCAGAATCATCTGTTACCGATGCTGGGGGTATGGATACTGTGGGACAGAAAGTGCACCTACAAATGCAGACACAGACAGAGGTGACACAGCGAGTGAGTGTTTTTCTACATGCATATAACCACTGGTACTAACACCTTGAGCGTAGCTGCATTCGGCATCAACAACGATAACAGCTGCCATTGGCGTCCTCATCCTGAATGTCACGGCCGCTGCCATGATATATCACATGAAACCAGAATAAGCAAGTATTGAGGGGGTGAGGAGTGTGTATTTTCTATTCCCACTCCTGTTTCCCTATGTGCTATTTGCAATGGATAAAATGTATCGAGTATCAAGTATTTCCGGTATGGAATGTGCATGCATTGGACGGTTCAGGTGTCTACTTATGTGTTATTTTTGTTCTTGCTTTCATTTCCTCACTGTCTTGTGCTACCGAGCTGCTGTATTATTGACCTACTCATATTTCTCATATTCCTGCTCTGATGTCTGCTCTCGTTTACCTGCATTCACATACATAGACTTGGGATGATGCAATCAATTGTACCTCACTGCTTCATACTGTCTTATTTTCAATGTGCCGTCTGATTACTCTGAATACCTTTATGCCATAATAAGGCGGCACTGCAGCTGTCAGCAATCCCACCCTTTGCTTTCCCACCTCAACTGCTGTCATGGTGAAGACTTTCCAACACCGCAAATTTTTCTGTGTAGATCCAACCACACCATCTTGTAGAAAGGGATTCCTTACACATGCAGGATTTACTCAACACCGTAATGCAGTTCATAATGTTCCTGCACGTCCATCATGCCTACCTCAGCATCCATTTATACCTAATAGACACCTTCATCTACAACCGCTGGATGCAATACATAATCCAGAAGTTCATGATGAGCCTGAGGGACCTTATTTCATACAGCATCCAGTACTTGATGGTAAGCTTAGACTATCTTCATACTAATAATGCTTATCCATTTCTCATGCTAGGTACGCCCTGTGATGAAGATGGAAATGACCTTCTTGAAGGTACAGACCCACCTCCTGCACAAGATGAGCATCCAGACATGCCATGGTATCCCTTCCAAGGAAGAGATTGCTTTGAGCTTGCAGATTTGATTTTCCATCAAAACAAAATGTCCAAGAATGAGTTCAACGATCTTATGCATATCTGGGCCAACATTGAGGGTCACTCTCCTCCATTTCGAAATGTGAAAGAGCTACACAATGTCATTGATTCTATACCATACAGTGATGCACCATGGCAGAGCTTCACTATATGCCACACAGATGCAGATCAGTTGCAACCTGACGATCCCTCTGTACCTCCATGGAAGCTGGCTGAGTATGAAGTTTGGTTTCGCAACTCCAGGGACGTTCTAAGAAACCAGTTATCCAATCCTGACTTCAAGGATCACATCGACTATGCACCAAAGCAAGTCTTTGGTGAACACAATCAGCGTGTTTGGAGTGATTTCATGTCAGGGAACTTGGCATGGAATCAATGTGTAAGAATATTTATAAACCACTTTATGATGCTAATGTGTTGAATTAGAACATCATTGCTGAGGACGAAGACCGTCATGGTGCAATGTTTGTGCCGGTCATCCTAGGCAGTGACAAAACTACTGTCTCAGTCGCCACCGGCAATAATGAATACTACCCTCTTTACATTTCAACTGGCAATGTTCATACCTCAATAAGACATAGCCATCGGGAAGCTGTCAGCATTGTTGGATTTCTTTCAATACCAAAATGTAAAGTATGATGTGTGATAATTCTCATTTGCTAATGCATCACCTAGGTGACAAGGATTACCATGAAGACAAAGAATTCCAAAAATTCAGACGTCATCTTTTTCACAAATCTATAGAAGCCATTCTTGAGCCTTTACGTCCCTCAATGTCAAAACCAGAGATAACAAGATGTTCTGATGGACACTTCAGAAGGGTGATATACGGCATTGGTCCTTACATTGCCGATTATCCAGAACAATGTTCATTGGCATCTATAGTTCAACAGTGGTGTGCCAAGTAAGTGGTTTTGAATTGTTATCAGTGAAACGACTATCTAATGTGAGATCTATATAGGTGTACTGCAAGAAAAAAACACCTTGATGAAGAAGACATCATGATTACTCCTAGAAGCCACTGTCTTACCAAAGCTTTGATAGAAGCTTTGACATCTGGGGAGCTTTGGGAGGAATATGGAATTGCAGATGATATTTTGGTAAGTTAAATATTTTACTGATTGATTATCCACTAATGGGTACATGGGAAGCCCTTTACGGCTTCATTTCCTCGAGCTAATATTCATGAGCTGCTCGCACCTGATCCATTACACCACGTAATCAAGGGCGCTTTTAAAGATCACCTAGTAGAGTGGGTAGGGTCATATTTGGAGATCACTTATGGCAAAAAATGTTCAAAGAAAATATTAGCTGAGATTGATAGAAGGTGTGTCCACTATAATCAATTTCAGTGTAGTACTATTTATGTCTTGACGAGTAGAATTGCAATTGTACCATCTTTTCCTGGCCTTCGACATTTTCCCCAAGGGCGTGACTTCAATCAGTGGACTGGAGATGATTCAAAGGTGCTGATGAAAGTAACTATTTCATTTATTCATTTGCTGATGCCTGATCTGAGATACAAAGGTGTACCTTGCAGCAATCAGTGGTCTAATACCAGATCAGATGATTCACACAATTGCAGCTTTCATGGATTTCTGTTATATTGTCAGGCATCCTTATCTTGATGAGGCTGATCTAGCTGCCTTGGATGACTCGCTACAGCACTTCTATCAGGACCACTCAATTTTTGAGGAGACAGGTGTCTGCCCGAACAGAAGTTCCCTTCCACGTCAGCATGCCCTGAAGCATTACCACCAGCTGATTATCCTATTTAGAGCACCTAATGGACTTTGTTCATCAATAACCGAGTCAAAGCACATTGATGCTGTGAAGGAACCATGATGTCGTTCAAGTCAGAATCAACCTCTTGGAGAAATGTTGCTGATCAATCAGAGGCAGGATAAGTTGGCGATGTTTTGTGTCATACATCTTGCACGTCATCTCATGGACACACCCCTGCTTCCTCATACTATTCAGCCAATCCCATCACAGTTCAATGACCCATTAGTCAGAGATAATTCGAACATCTATGATGTGGAGGCTGCAGATGGTCTAACAACCGATTCAACAGTAATTCTGGCCAAGACTCCTGGTGAGCACTGCACACTTGCTTTCTATTTGTTCCAAAATTTCAATCTTCTTATTCAAAACAGAGCATCATTACTCAAATCGTTTGCCAGAGCTTGGTGACCATATTGGCTATCCATAGCTTGTTGAACTTGTGCAGCATTTTCTCTATGATCAATGCAATCCAAATGCACTCATATCTGGAAGTAATGTGGATCTCTCTCTTTGCCCAGAATTCCATGGCAAGGTTTAAGTCTTCCACTCGGCAGTCACATGCTTTTGGGCACCAAGTGACTTATGTGGAGTTGGTGGTATGCACCGGGAGCGTATTCGTGCAACACCTTCTTGGCACAATGGCCCTGCACACCATGACTGCATCTTTCTTGAAAATAATCCTACCCTACCAGGCTTCCAGGGATTGTATGTTGCCCAAGTTGTTCTTTTTCTCTCTTTCACCCACCGCACTACTACTTATCCTTGCGCACTTGTCAAGTGGTTCTCTCAGGTGGGAGATTCTCCTTGTCCAAGGACTCATATGTGGATTGTAGCACCTGAATTTGATGATGACTGTCGCCTTATTTCAATTGTTCATTTAGATAGCATCATGAGACCTGCACATCTTATTCCTGTGTATGGACCTCAGAATATTGACCGTCATTTACTACATACCAACTCTTTGTCTGCTTTTGCCTCATTTTATGTTAACAAATACTCTGACTACCATGCATTTGAAATGGCATACTAAGGATATTTATATAATGTTATTCTGTTTTCTAAACACATCAAATAAACTATGGTTGCTCTTATTAACTGCACGTAAGTTGGTTTGAACAATCTGCATGTAGAAAAATCTGCATCTCAAGTAATCTAAATAAATGGCTGGCTGAATTAACTATATATCTGTTAGTAGAACAAAATATAGTAGTGCAATACTGATAAATAGATTAACTTATAAGCTGAATAAACTGTATGTCTGTAAATTTAGATAGTGTTGGGTTATGAAACTGTAACTTAGATGATCTAGTACACTGTCTCTACTGAAATCTGTGCTGATTAGACAAACTGTAGAATTGTATATCTGTATCTTCTGATAATTTGGTCTAGTAGAGCTGATGTTGCTGAATGACCTGCATAACTTTCTTTTGAAAGTCTGACATACCTGAACACTCTGTGGTATTTTTGATCTGATAATATGATGTCTCTGCACAACTGATATGTGCTGAATGATACTGATTTTTACTGATATCAGATAGTTGTCTGATATCAGACATGCAGGTAAATCAGGCAATTCAGCAGAATTGTAGGTTTCCTGATGCTAGTCCACTTAAGATATATCTATATGACAGTATCTGCTGGCTCTGCCCCTCCATCTTCTTCAACAACACTTGTCTTTGGGATTGAGGGTATCTTTCAGAATTCTCTAAGTGCAGAGGTGCGTGTATTGCACATTTTTATGTTGCTTCGTCATGCTAACCTACCTTTTTTTTGTACATGATCTCTTGCCCTTTTATCTGCTTACCCCACGCTGATGGTCCTTATCCGAAACTCCGAGCTCATGCAGAGCCTCACCATGAAGAGGTGTGGCATGCGGATGTATGTGGATGAAGAATCTGGGGATGAGCGAGCGCTCATTTTCTAGAGGTAATGTCCTTCACTCTTGTAGTTTATTTTGCAACTGACTATGAGCTTCGACGCTACTAGTACCTTCAAAGTTATTCATGCTATGTTCCCTTATCTTTTTTACATGTTGTCTTGTTGCTGCCTCCACTACTACTAATGTCATTATACCATTTCCTTTGTCGCGCTCGTTTTTAGCTTCATATTGATCTACTTGCTAGTACTTATTTTTTTCGTTGTTTAACTTTTTATTTCTGGCTACTACTTAATCCTCTTGTCCGGTTGAAATGCAATTGTTTTTCCTTGTAACAAGTAGGAATCTGCATGGGTACAGGTACGGGTCGGGATTCTAAGACCCACGCGCCACGTACACGCTCAGACCACACCAGCGAATGCTGGCGTGGCTCGAACGCACACGGAAGACACCAGGACGAAGAGAGAAGGAAAAGAGGAGGAACGAGAGGAGGAAGGAAGGATCTTGTCAGTAAGTCGCCATCCTGACTCTGCCCCCATTTTCTGCAATGAGGACGCGACACCCGACACGTCACACTCTCGCGCCACCACACCACCATCTCCCATTTCGACATGCTCACCTTCGACTTCGATCGTAAGCAACACACCACCTGCCATGACATCAGCGTCTATTTCAACGTGTCTGTCATTCGCGCCGTGTAGTGTTGCCACAGCTTTGGCTAGTGCCGGCTAAAGCCGGCTCTGATTCTCGGGCTTGACTGAAACTCACAAGTCACACTGCTTACATAATCAAAACTCGGTCCGGCTTATACAGCCATGGCAAGTAGCTGCAAGCTGGCTCAAGCCTGTGTAGATAATTTTAGCGTAATTTAAATTTAGAAATGAGATTAAATTTAGAAACGTTACATCTTACTATCGATCGATTATCGACAATCCAAGTAAACGACTTAGTTCCCAAGATCCTTCACATACAACAAAAATGGCACCCCAAATGGCGGTACGTTGTACCTTTGTGATGTTTGGACATGCGTTAAGTCCAAAAATAGGCCTGTATCGCACACATCACCAAAGCCAAGCAGGTGACGGCGAGGAATGCAGAGATGTTGGGGGAGACGAGAGGTTCGCAGGATCGAGAAGTGACATTTGTTTATGTGTCGGGGTGTCCGTCGAGGTTTCGGATTGCGTTGGCGAAGGTACTCGGGTTCAGGGTCCGAGAGAATGAGTGAGTGCATTCTACAGCATATCCTAAAGATGATTGAACTATTTCGGTTAGTAGCAACAATAATGCGCATGCAAATGCAAATGCACTGAACGCTGTGCTTGCTCCGTCGAGGGATATGAGGAACGTAAGGTTGGTCATCTCCTTCCGCAATGAATCCCCCATCTTTCAACAACCCCTTGTCCTCTCCCTTCTTGGACTTGCGATGATGTGCGTTCTGATCACTACCCCTAGGATTAGTCGGTAGTTGTACAACAGAAATGTGAATGACGCACGCACTCTGCCACTTTCCATATCTTTGCAAGTAAGGCGTCACCATGCGCGAAAATTATGAACACATTCTTGCGCGTCTCAGTGCCAGTAGCAGGATCAACAAAGGGCTCTGTGATATCCGTGTGATTCATGTACAGGTTACCCCTTAGGACACAAACTGTTTCTGACGCGAAACAGCACGATCAGAACCCTTCCGTTAAGCAAAGCCGCACTCAAACAGCAATTCTATGACAAGATCAAAGGTGAAGCCATCAGCATCATGCGCGAATCACCCCGCAACGCCCACCTCCAATCCATAGATCAAATGGCACCATCCAAGAATTTCGCAAAACGGATCGCAGACCTGCCGAGGAAGCACAGAACATTAATATTTCAGCTGCGCACAGGCCACATTGCACTCAACAAATACCTTCACTGCATAGCCAAAGCGCCCTCAGCAACATGCCAGGAATGTCACGCCCATGAAGAAACTATCCAGCACGACTGCGTCAAATAGTTAAAAGCTTGAAACGAACGAAGCAAAAAAATGGGACACTTGCCTTTGAAAGGCTTGGAATCTCTTGCTAACGCAAGTGCATCCTCAGGGACACCATGGGCTATCGTAACAGGGAGACTCAGGAACCCTTCAAGATTTCGTGGTGGATGTGGTGAGGTGAAGAGCTTCTTGGGAGTCTGCCCGACTGCATTGCTATTAGTTGACCGTTTCATGTGACTGGGACAAGGGCTGTCGCACAATTGTGGATGATTCCAACAGTAGCTTGTCGCTCAAGATCGTTGGTAATCTTGTCCAGATCTGTACATGCCCATCAACGAAAAGTAAATTCCGACAGAGAAACCTACCGATTGCGCCTTCGTAACTGAGAGGGTGAAAAATGTTCACCGAATCCACGTCCCATTGCTTGCATCCCCATATGAGATCTATCCAAGCAGGAAGATTCTTGCTGAGATAATGGCCCTCAAGAACCTGTTTACGCACCAGAATAAAATCAGTTAATCAGAACAATCTTCTGTGGTAAAACTTACACAGCGATGTATTATGATGAACAGGAGTGGGTCTCCTTTTGCCCACGCAGGCAGTTTGACATTGTGAATCTGTTCTCCGGTAGCTTGAGAGATACCAAAGTTGAGATTTGATGAATTCTCGAGGAATCTGAACGTAGTAATCATTATCAATTTGAACGGAACAGAGCAATCAGAGGACTTACTCCGAGCAAGTAAAGAATTTGGGTATTAATTCACGCACATCCCCTCGGATGTCATGTGACGCTGAAGAATATGTTCTCCTGATATCACTGAAGTATAAATCATTATATGTTGCCCCACATCCTGGTTCCAACTAAAGACTAACACAAAAAGCCTGTCGGGCAAATCCCAGTTTCCTCCCTGAGGGGATAAATAGATGTTTTTCCACACCAAAAAGGAACATACCTGTAGCGTCTTGAACATATTGGTAAATGGCTGCATGCGAATATTGAAGTGGCAAATGATCATCGATCTGTACTCGGTGTCAAGAAAAAAATATGGGCAAATAGAACAAACTTACGAGCTGAAGTGTGTTCCGTAGTGAAATGGCTCTTCGTCAACACTGCTCAAGTTAGTATAGCGAGTTTCCGCAGCCTCACGACGCTCAGCCATCAACACTCCCATAGGCTTAGTGAGACTGAATTATTATGTTAATTGGAGTTTACAATCTGGAGTATACGAACTCACTCTCTAAACACATCAGTAGATGAAAGATCTAGTACCTCCGATACATAATCATTGAGAACCCAAGCTAAAAGTCGCCGTGAGTTTGCTTGTGAATAAGGAGGTAAAAGCCACTGACGAAAAACGGGGTATTGAGTTGCATCGTTTGGGGTATGTCCTGACAGTTGATTGAGAATACTCAAATAACCAAACTGGTTCAAAGTGAGTGTTGAAATAAGAGATGTAAACATCACACACATTGCTTAGCTCTCTGTTCTGCCACTGTTGTTGCGCCAATTGGAGTTCTTTTTCTACTGCGCTAGTGGATGATCTACTTGTCAAAAGTGATTTGGGTGTAATAGATCTAGGTGTCAAACTGGGGTCGGATGTCCTCATTTTCAAGGCTATCGACAAAAGCATCTGGGAAGCCACTTGGCGACGTGACTTATCAAGGAAAATAACCAGCAGTGTGCGGCTATCTTTGAAAAAGATCTCGAACCTGACAACCGGATTAGTAAAGTGAAATGCAGTGAGTGACGCATCTCACCCTACATCCTGGAAAAGGAACATCCTGTCAGAGAAGCCTGAAACTTGCTCTAATGACCTGTCACAGAAGATATTCAGTATGACAAAAGATAGAATAGAAAAGTGTTCTCTATACCATTGTTGAGCCCACTGCGAGTTCCAAACGTCCACAGCACTTCCGGATATAAGGAACAATCCTTCCGGCGCATCACCTGCATCAATAACTTCGCCTTCACTATTCTCCACAAGTCCTTCTAACATGTACAGGTGGGTACGCCCGAAAATCAACATGCCAACTAGGAATCAACGATTGAGAATGTCAGTGAGCAAGTCAGCAATTTGACCGCTTACGAAAGGAATCGACACCGGATACTCGGCAGACAGTGCTAACAGCCTCAATGACATTGCCAGGTTCGAGTTGATGCCTCACTCTCCTGAGTTTGTCCTCAGTTACCTCTTCAGTGAGCTGATGATCGCCTGGAAACGATGTTAGTCAAAATTGATAAAGCATCGAAAGTAAAGAACAACCGTCTTCGCCTGTATAAGATGGAACAACCACGGTATTCGGAGAAGCAAGTTCTGACTGGGACAGCGACAACAGCTCTGAATCAAAAGTTGACGAAGCTTCCTCATGACTAGTAGACCTTGAGTTCTGCACAAATATTTCCAGGAGGCTCTCCATCTTTGTCCTGGCTGATATCATTGTTTTGCCTCTAACAGCGAAAAACTCACTGACCTAACTCTGTGCGGTCCTTTGGTCTCGTCCAATTTCTACATGCATTTCCGAGCTGAGTGGGACCAAATATTGCGTTCAGTCGTCGATACAGATACATTTTCTTCAAAAGATGCGAGATACGCTAGACAGTGCAACGCACTCAGTCTGGAAGTTGGACCACGTCAACTCCAAGTCAAATATTTGTTGTGCCACAGTAAAGGAATAAGAGCGACGCTCAAATACATCGCGCGCACGAAAAGGATGGAACAGGTCTTTGGAGATGTAACCCCCCCAGAGGAGAAGAAGAAGTGAGGAGGAAGGAGATGAGAGGGGAAGAAGAGAACGAGAGGAAACGCACCCAACCTGTAACACACCAAACCAACGCCTTAAGACGGCGTCCACGTCCCTGCGCAAGCACGGACCATTGTAAAGAGTCGACAAACAAAGCAACATAATACATAACTCGGACAGTAAACATAGTGTATGTAGTGTCCACCATAGGGCTCCGCCCCACAGGACAATAAACAAGGATCCAAAAAAAAAGAAAAAAAAAATTCAGCAGTGTGACAACAGTTGAAAGGAGCGCACGTACGTCCTTCAATTGAACATTTTCCAGTTCACCGAGCTCTGCGACTGCATCATGGGCAACTTCAGTCAGGATAAGGAACTGCCTCAAGCTCATCTGTCCCGAACCTGTGAACATTGTCAGTAAGTTAAATGGAGTCATCACAGTTCAGGCTCGCACGCACGGAACAGCGTGGGGTAGTCGTCTCCCATGGTATTGATTCATCTGTCTATCAAATAAATGAGAGCAAAGGTCAGGACTCAGGACAACGTCAGAAAAGTAATGCCGCTCAACACATGCGCAAGTGTTGCGGGGAAGTGAAAATACCGCCCATAGTCTCAACAGTCTGCCCTGAAACTCCTTGCTGGCAATCACAACGTGTTGATATCAGAGATGGTTGGGATTGGGTCGGGCGAAGCGCACACTGTCAGCTGGTCACTGTGCAGCTGGTGAGAAACAAATAAAGCATTGAAATCAAAATCAGCACAACAATGAACAAGATAGTGCAAACAACAGGCGAGAGGCAAAACAGTAGATGCCAGACAAAAAAAAGTCATAGAAGTAAGGGTCACTTGTCGTAGATGATAGCAGTGTCCTCAATATTGTCACACTCCTCCTCTGCGATGGCTCTGAGAAGAGCGTCATTTGCGCTGTGGGTAGATGTCAAAGGCTCGCTAGAGCCCATGTCATATACCACCCCATGTTCCATGTCCCGTTGAGAGGCTGCCCAACCTTTCGTAAAGTTAAGCCGTTCTTTCTTGAGGAAAAACTTGACCATCTGCAATGCTTCCATCAAAATGGGACTGAGGCGATTCCTTTTCTTCGAATGGGTTTCGCTGCTGGATGAAAATACTCACTCACATGGCACCGCAGAGGCTTGTACTGGAGCGTAGTCCATGGCAATTGAAAATATAGTCGGGAATATAGACTGCAAAGCCTAGTCAACAGCTCGTGGTTAATGAAAAGGGTGTGACTTGAAGAGGTAACGGACTCACGTTCCAGAACGCAAGTATGTCTGTTCCATGAGGACTAAGCATAGCCGTGGCATAAGCAGCGAACTCCTGATCTACTGTTTGACCACCGCCGTGTTGATGCAGCACATGTGCATGTGCCATGGGAAGTCCATAGCGACGTGAGCCTAGTGTGTGTGGCAGCGGTCGTGGGGCCACTACAGGTTGAGAATGTGCAGGATCAGTGTTTTCCGCTCTTTTGCTATGCATCTGCAGAAAAAATCAATCCAATGTTGTGCATTTATTTACAACAGAGACATACCAGCTTCAAGATAAACTCATTGGCTTCAGTAACACGGTCCTTCTCCCATAGATTGTCCATCCAAGACATCCGCATCGCAGGGTCGATAACTATGAAAGTAATCATGAGATCAATATTTATTAAAACAAAACACGGGACTGACACATAGCGACAGAATAAGCATGTGTCGCACTCATCCGGTCAGTGTATTTGCTTGCCCAGGTTAAGCCTATGTCGACGATAGGCTTACAGTGAGGTACGTGCTGGCCAAGAGACTCCCAGCTATTAATCAACTCTTCAAAAGTTGGAACGGCACGGCTCAGTAAGGGAGTGCTTTCACTGGAGAGTTTTTGCTAGGCGGCGTGTGGTGCCTGGTATGGAATGTTAAATTAGATCACGAGCTTTGAACACATCAGTACTTACCTCCAAGATCACTTCCAGGTCCTGAAGGAACTGCCAATCAACATCACTCAATCTTTTGTTGGATATGCTGCATTGAGGCCAAGCATCAAAAAAGGCATTTACCGCCTGAGCCAGCATTAGTTTATGACATATGTTTTATGATGTGCAATCTTTCCTGCTGCAGTGTCCGCAAACGGTTAATCATGACATATGCTGAGTCCCATCTAGTGGGCTCATCGAGGAGGAGTTCTACAACTGGGAGCTGTATAGAGTCACCCTTGTCATCTCGAAACCAATCATCCTCATTACCCTTAAGGATGCAGTCACGAAACCTGTCGCGCCGCTGATTTGATGCACGGATCAATCACACAATTGTCCTGGCTCGCTCGAGAGGCTTGGTTTGCATGGCCTGGACATAATCGACTTTCTTGATAACCTGATCTTCGATTGTCCATGTATCGGACACAGTAGAATAGTCAGCAGTAGGGTATTTGTCAATGATATGCTTCACGCATATGTTTATCACGTGCAGGAAACACGGTATCCTGTGTTCAACTGGATCAAAGTCGATCCCATGTTGCCCAAGTAGTGTAGAAAGCTCCTGCATTGCGGTATGATTGTTGGCCGCATTGTCAAGAGTAAAATGGCCGGTCTGAACAATGTGAGAGCACGCAACACAATACAAATGAGTACCAACCTTGGCCGTAGTTTCTGCACGATTGAGGAGATATAATATCATGGAACCAAGAGATTGACCATCGTGATTTCCTGGGATGTGGTGGAAAGCAAGGAGGGCCGTCTTCAACACAAGCATTGAACCTTGATTGGACCTGGCAATCCAATGAGCTGTAAGGGCCATGAACGGCCGGAGCTTTTGATCTGACCACAGGTCAGATGTGAAGCAGACTTTTCCCTGCGCATTCTAAAAGGAATAAGATACTTCGTAGGACGCTTGGAAACTATACACTTACAGCAAGATCTTTCTTCAATGCCAGGAAGTATTCCTGCCATTGCTTGATGACCATCTCACGAGCCTTCATGCGATGAAATAGGCCAGTCTCGCCAATATCTGGGCGCAGGAGACGTATGAGGCGCCGAAATTCAGGGCACTCGATCACATTTATTGCCTGGGGGCAATTATTGATAGTGGCTGTAGGCATAAACTGCGACTTACTTGATCATCGGCAACAATAAACTTCACAATTTGACGATGCATTTCATCAAGCGTGAAGTCTGGAATTACATCGTGTGGAGAGCCGGTTCCTACCAGCAATGTGTCAGTTCCCTGGTTAGGGGGGGACCAAGTGATTGCATTGTGCAAGGTGATTTCTTGAGTCGTTCGCGAATTGTCATCAGTGACCAGCCCTCAGCTAGTCATTCGTTTAGATCCTTTATCTGTATGCGCCAGCCAAAACGCTCTGCTGCTTCCAAATAAAGTTCGGTGTGGTGAGTGAAAGCATGCGTGCGGGGAGCTGTACTGGATGTGGAGCCTGCATATACCATGACCTTGTGTGTTGTGTCGATATTATGCAGTGTTCTGGTGATGGGTGTGAGAAACGATGAAAGATTGCAAATGCGGTACTCACTCGCAAGGGATGCAAGTTTTGCTCTTAGTATCGGAGTCAATCCAGTAGAAGTGAGTTATATTGGTTGGCCCTTTAGACTGCTTTAGATTGCCAGTGGCCAAAGGGTCAGTGCGAACAGTGCTATTAACGGTCTGGAGTGGGCTCGGATTAGAGCCCGCAGGTGCCATAGCGACGACGGGCGCAGGAAGATTTTCCGGTTCCTCTTCATCCCCTGAGACATTGTTGAGGTCAAAGACCTCACCCTCATCTGGACCGGTATGAGCTGCATCACTGGTTCTGTATCTAACAGGAAGCTGTCACCGACGGGGGTTTTGCAGGGTAGTGGCATTAGCTGCAGCAGCAGCAGGGATCGCAGCAGGAATAGCGGAACGGATCGCAGCGGGAATAGTGGTAGGGATCGTGGCAGGGATAGCAGCAGCAGTGGAGAAATCAGCAGCAGCAGGAATAGCAGCAGAGGCAGTGGGGATAGCAGTAACAGCAGGCAAGGCAGCTGTCCACCTCTTGTTCTGCCCGCGTCGTCGACCTTGCATTTGTGGTAGTAGTGTTGATGATTTGATGACAGAACTGTCTGTCTATATAAGTGTTCTTTCCGGGAAACCCCAGACAATGCCAATGTATGCGAAGCTCGAGGGCGATATATTGCAGGTGACAATGTAGTGGAGTGGGGCAGGGCATCGATGAAAGGTCATTCATGCAGCATATAATAGCCTGTATGGTGGTGATATGAGTTATATGATATGAGAGAAGCGAACAGTAAAATCGCGACATACAAGTTTGGTGCCTGTTGGACGATTGACAGGGTGTGGGCGAAATTGGTCTTCTTTGTCTTGTTTTTTATCAATAAAAGCTTGCAAAGCACTATAATTTGGTGGGGGTGAGGGTGGGGAATCTCGCTCAATGAAGGACATACCTGGAGACTAAAGTGAATTTTATCCATGCAGCTTTCTAGATTGCCATCATATAGATAATAGCTTGAGAAACGAACAGCTCACCTTTATCCTCAGAGTTTCAATTCAGAACCCAGATCGTAAGGTAGTAAAGCCATCCACCACAAGGTTAGTGATACATTTAGAAAAGGTCCCCCATGAGGCGTTGCATGTAGGTGCGGATGCACTACCACTCCTCAATTTTAATCACCGCATGATACGATCGATACGGTCTAATGATAAGAATTAGCTAGATGAATCAACCATTTTACCTCACACAGAAGTCGAATTGCTGGACACTACCACTTGGTGATGCAACCTGTTTGAAAGCAATTCAAACCTTCAGTGGTGGATAACCATAAGTTCTAACAAGACCCTCACCTTAGCGATCTTGTCTGATCAGCACGAGAAAATGCAATGGCAAGATCGGTGGTGATTTTAAGTGATGATGGCAGGTGCAAAGATCGATAGCTGCGGCTGCTGCACACTAGTATGAGTCTGTGCAGCATGTTGAAGGGAAAATAGTCCCACGCTGAAAGCGGTGCACGATTACACATGATGCATTGCTGCCATTGCAGTACACTATTTCTAACATCTGTAAGGATGAAGAGTTCAATCCTGCAGAACCAATTCGTGTGACCCTTATAATATATATTATATACTGTAGTCTACAACAGTCACGATTTCTGCTGTGGAGTTGACGGAATTGACGTAGCACGCCATGAAGAGCCATTTGTACGTGGGCGTAACCTGCAAATAAGTTATACTTCGGTTCAAAGATATGAAAGAAACATGTTACTCACACATGTGTTGATCGGCATACTGCCTTTGGCGGGCATATTGACATTGCTTCGGCCATACAGCACTGGTCAGGAGATAGAAGGGGGTGTGTGGCAGGACAGCAAGGAGTCCCAGGACCATCGGGTTGGCCAAAATCCAACAAGCACGTAGCTGGTGCAGGCAATGTGGCACGAAGACTGTGTAGTAGTGAACGAAGATGATCGTAATCAGGATCTTCAGCGAATGCGAGAGAGCGGGTGTAAATAAGAATGTTTGTGAATTCGACGGGGATGTCATGGCATATTTCTGCAATGGTAGCGTGTGCTTTGCGCTCGAGTATGGTAGAGCTGGATAATTTCTCATCATCACTGGCTAACCATGGAAGGGAGCCACGCAAAAAATAGATTAGCATGTAAGTGAGCGACTCAAGATCGTCACGGCAACCTGGCTCAACTCCTAGGTGATTGTTGATTGAGGCGAATGCGGGAGTACCAGAGAGACTTCGACCATGGCGAAATGGTACATGGTCACTGGTTTTAGTGTTCCAGTATGTCTTCGTGATTCCAAAATCGATGATATAGGCGGTGTGCCTCAAATTTCCAAGACCCACCAAGATGTTCTGCGGCTTAATGTCGCCGTGAACATAATTGTGTGAGTGAACGTACTCAAGACGCGAGAGCTGGGAAAGTCAGTCAACCTATCTGCAAAGACCTCGGACCAAATGACTGACCAACTGGACTCCAAGATTGACAACATTGAGAAGGCTGAATCTTCGATTGTTCGCGAGGAAGAGTTGGTGGAGTGACGGCCCAAGGAGTTCAAGGACCAGAACATGATGCACTGACTCTCTACCAAACCAGAAGGTGCGTGGGATGCCAACTCCGCCTTCAAGTTGTTTCAAAATATAGTATTCACGCTTGACAGAAGATGAGTGGTTGACAACGGTTTCGAGTTTGAGGGCAACGTGATCATCATTGATGATATTCCGCGCAGAATATACGACAGCTAAGTTGTACAACATAAGTGAATCTGAACCAGAACAATAAATTTGACTACATGCCATACGAGCCAGATCCTAAGACATCTCCCAGCCTAAATCTCCCATCCACTCGAACCGGGACCTTATGCATGGTAATTTACAGTGGATCCAACCGAATAGTGGGGATATGTTGGAGAATGAGTTCACGACGCAAGTGACGCAACGAACGCAACCCCCTCCAGCTGGCTTGAGGCCGGCTCAAGCCGTTCTTCCCACATTCTTGGCTTGTTGCAATTTGTGCCGGTTCAGGTGCCTTGTGGACCAGACCGAGTTGTACATGAGTAACTTGGTTCATTGGAATCGCCGAACTGCTGTGAAATTGGTAAGAGCCGAGCCCGGACCGGCCATAGCCGAGCCGCAACACTACTAGTGCCATGCCTCCACTCCTCCTTCTTGTGCCATCCACATATGTTCGAGTCACATCAGCATTCACTGACGTGTGCTGGACATATGTGCTAAGCACTGGCAGTGATACCTATGGTACCCGCGGGTAAACCCTGCACGGGTGCAGGTACGGGTCTGAGCTTGTTGTACCCGCCGAAAACCCGTACCCATCAGAGCGGGTACGGGTTTTTGCCGGGTGTGGGTGCGGGTATGGCCTCCAATACCCAGGGGTTTACCCGTGCAGTTCCCTAGTAACAAGTGTGAACAAGTGTACATAGTGTGAACAAGCTAAAAATAAGTGCAACAAAGGGGATTGCAATGTAGCTCATTCTAAAAACAAGTGCACAAAGTGCAGGACAAATGAAAAAAAGTGCAAAAATGCTCAAATCAAGAGGAAGGGATCTTCTTGGCAGCTTGTTGCTCCTTGTGACAAGGAGGCGTTCTGGTTCTTGTCTGACACTTTCCGCTCCTGGGTGGGAAAAATAAGAGCGAAAAAGGAAATCAAGCAATGTGTGAATTTACTGATGTTCTCACAGCTACAATATGAAGGAATCATCAGTTCACTGATGAACGTATGTCATGACAGGTTCATGCTCAATAACCCGCAAACATATCCTAGTCCCTTGCAATTCAATCCTGAACGATTTTTGCCTAATGACGAAAAGAAGCCTGAGACCGACCACCGGACAATCTACTTTGACTTTGGAAGACGGTGAGCATAGAGTTGGTTGCCTGTGAAATGCTAACTTTCTGCTTCGCAGCATCTGTCCGGGTATACTCAACTCACAGAAAGCGCCGATCAACATTCTGATGCTTCTTGTTTTTGATATATAGGTATCCACCTCGCTGAAGCCGCTATCAGAACTTCGAGAATTGGTACGTCGAGGTACGTCGACGCAGAATTACCTCATTTGAGTTCGACGATGACTTTATTGCGCAATGGCTACCAGCCCGCAGTGCAGAAATGACTCTAGGAGCTCTGTCGAATGCACTCGATCCAGCCTATTGACAATAACTTCCATTGGGCACGCGTTTTCGCCCGTCATATGTAACCGCCAGATCGCAGCGGGAGAATGCAGCGATTGTGGCACTCGCCGGTGCAGTGCAAGAAATCAGCAAGCATTTGTCTTTTGCGCAAGTCGATCTCTTCAAAAATTGGCATACTCGCAGATGCTTACGAACGAACTCGCAGCCAACTCTTCTGTGCTTTGCTATAAAGCACTGCGCCGCAGGGATACCAGCGGAAAAACTTCTGGTGACGAAGAAGGAAGTGCTGACCTTTGAAAAATTGCGAATCTCGCGCAGTGCGGGTTATAGTCTCCTGTGAATGAGAATGATTCAATCCACCTTGAAGAGGCGATGCGTATGCTGTCGCTCAACGACTTTGGGATTTTGCCGCAATCTTCTCGTCTCCTCTACGGCTCGTGATAGCGATGGTCTTCCTCTACAAGTAAGTCACAGTTTCCCTGAGATATCAAGCTAAGTGATATTGGGATCCAGCGCGATGTCAGGTGCCATTGTGATTCTTTTTGCCTATATTCTGAACTACAAATTGGCGACATACAACATCAAGGTTTGGAGTCTCGGCTATTTTATTTTCCTGGCTGATGCGGCACAGATTACCCGAGCGTCATGGAAGGCCAACAACAAAAGGATGAGTGTCGTGAACGAACTACTTCAGAATATCAGATTTTTGAAGTTTCATGATTGGTGCGGGTGAGCAGAAGCTGGCACATGATTCAACTTGATGAGCGTTTCATAGAAAATCAGTGGTCTCGCATTGCTCATCGAGCACGAGAAGAGGAACTCGACTGGCGGGTCAAAGAGAATGTTGTCGACACTATCATCTCTTTCATATGGTAAGAGCTGTTCGTTGTCCTGACTTCGCGCGTACTCACGACAATTTATAGGACATGGCTACCTTCAGCGACATTCTCTTGGCACGCTTTGGGTGAACAAGAGCAACTGACCGTATCCGAGGCATTTACCGCAGTCGCTCCGTTCTCACAGTCAAGCATTTCTTATACCAGTAACCACGCAGTGGGTATATGTATATTTCTCTTCACGGACTGATATGGATATGAGACTGACCTTGTTGCAGGAATCCCACAGCCCCGGGCCAGATGACAACAGTATGTTGGGCTCGAAACTCTTCACCACAGGTTGCCCAGACTAACATCGTCGCGCAGGATGCGATCTCCGTCCTTTTATATATCCCTCACGGTTCCCGCGGCAGTTCAAGAAAATAGACGAAGTAGCTGCAGTCCTGCCTGATCGCTCGAACCAAGCTGCAGTCTGCAGATAAGACCAAGACTGACTGAATAACATACGGACAAGGTCCATGCAGACGACATTCAGCCACGATGAAACGGCAATTTTCATTCCAATATGGCAGATATCATGCGAGTACGGGAAATAAATAACAATGTTGGTCGGATGACAAGACTTTAAAAGTATCGATGAACGAGATGGTTAATGATATACGGCTACAATTCATTTCTGGGTGTGGAGGGCGAGCGAAAATGCGTGAGCGAACGACAGTATTGTGAAAGGAGCGCGCGAATTGAGTAATGTAATGCGTCGTGATGAAGGAAATTCGGTAAGAGGAAGGGGAATGCTTGGCAAGTTGGCGCTCAGCTGCATGTGTGCCGGATCCTTCCGGGTGTTCAACGTTCAGGAACCACCATGGGAATATGGGAATATACCAGTACTATGTTACTCATGACTCGATTCACCTGACCCACCACACGAGCAAGGATAGCTCCTTGGCCACTTTCTGTCGCTGCCATCGACATATTGGTTCACCATCTGGAACGGGATAACACCGCCCTGCATGTCATAGAGTCCGTCCCTGTCCACCTGGTCCGAGCGCGTGACAAACTCCTGAATCTCTGTCTTCATTAGGTTCGCAGGCCACTCATCGAACTTCTAATACGACTCGGCCGACAGATCATGCCCGCAATGAGGGCAGATGCATACAAGGCCAGGTCGAGATGATCAAATGTTGAAGACATGAAAACCTGGGAATGCCCAGAGCGTTACCGCATGTCTTTATGGAAAAGGCGACATCGACCCACAGTCTGGTAGCAGCGAATGTCGTTCGAGGGCTCAAGAAGCTTATACGCGTACGTGCTAATATTTTTGGCCTAGCATAGAAGAGTCGAATGACTAACTAACTATTTGTTATAGGAATTGGAGACCAATAGTACACGTCTCCGCACGGGAGCACTAGAGCACGACGATAGTTTCACTTATGACATCACGGATACTGTTGATCTCAAAATAGTTCTGATGCAAGGTTTGGAGGACGAGAACACCAATGCAAGTACATATATAATTGTGTCATCACCAGGTGACTACTAACATGCGTACTGAAGGGAGATCACACTGGTGAACAGGAAGATGAATCACCTGTGGTCGAACCGAAGCACAATGGACAACCCTCGAACAACCTTCCCTCGTAGCCCCGAGGCAGTACCAGTCTGTCATCTTATATACACGCTGCTATCCATGCAGAGCTTTTTGCCTGCTGCAGGGAGTATTCCGACATCTCGCCATTCGAGACGTGGCCACATCCAAAAACAAGGTGCAAGGAAAGACTTTCTGTATACACTGGCGTATCATCTTGTAGAGTCATTTAGCCGATATTCTCTCTATTCTCGCCATGACCCGGTCCGATACTGAACTACAAGGAACCCTCCGCTACCGCCTTCTTTCTGCATCTCTCCTCCCTCCTGCATCCAAAATCTCTGAACCGGTTCTTGTGGGCATGAATCCGTTCGTCATGTTGTTGCTGAACTAGGAACTCGATGGCGTGGCTCAAACAGGTTCTCTATCAAGTTTATTTGGAATCATAGTTTATACTTAATACAAGGACAGCATAATCGGCATCGCTGCGCTTCTCGCATCGCCACGATTCCCTCCTTGAACGATGCACGAATATCTCCAAATGTGTCGTGGTTGCCACGTGCCATGTCGATTGCAGTTATGAACTGTTGTAGGGAGCAATGCCGTTAATAAGATGAGAAGACAATTTGAAAACGGTTGTTGGCTCCTTTTGATGACCACTTGACGAATCAGACTGATTCAAGTAGATGTGTCATTAAATGGAGACTGGGGATTATCCAGTGAGACATCTGGTAAGACTCTGGGTATTCCCTCATTCTATGAGCCTGAGATATTGAATGTCCTCGCACCTTAGCCTATGTCACCATCACAGTCTGCCCTCATTAATACTGAGGCTAGCCTGAAAGTCGGTCTCAACGCTCACCCTTGTGCAAAATTATGGCTCCACACACTGCTGACAGGTAAGCTACTGAGTGCTGGCTACATGATACATTTCTGATGTCTGGGTGATTCGGCACATCAGTAGCATCGACGATTCGGACGACTCTGATATTCTAGATGATGGATTGCTGTCTAATGCGATAGACGAAAGCACTCCGTTTAATCTTGATGATGTTCCTCCAGCTGTGGAATCCGACGATCCTGTGCCGCAAGAAGAGGTCTTTCACAGCATGTTCATTGCTCGTGAAGGCCAGGAAACAACTGGCCGTACTTGGGAGCAGACTTCCGTTTGCACCCTGCCTCTGTCAGCCTTCGAGAAAATTTTTCGCAGGAAGGACAAGGCCACCGCAGCAAATTTATTACTGCGTCGCACCAACCTCCGCATCGATCCGCATCTAACATTTGCTTCTGATCACCCAATGTTGTTGTGGGACGCGTCGAAGCATTTCCTTGACTTTGTCCTCGTTGTATCGGGTTCGATTGGTTTGCATGCATTCCTCCCGAACACTATCTCCGACCACACGTTTTCCGTCTCTTTGGATTTCCGTCTTCAGAACAAACAGTTCAAGCCCAAGTTCGGTAAGCTCGGGTTTGATCCTACAGGCTCGATGATGGCAATCGGGACTGGCAGTTCTTGTGAGCTGTGGCTTGCATTTTGTCCCTTGACACACATTGAGGATCTTTCTCTTGCCGACGAGACACCTCTGCTAAATGCCATGAAACACGGCGAGACTCGTCTGTCACCCCGTCACTATCGTATGGCAGTGATGTTTATCGCCTCGGCGTTGGCACAAATATCATCGCTGCCCTTTCATATCATGCATACATACGGAACCGACGAGGATTTTTCTCGCTGGAGAGTCAAGGAGGTTACTAACCTGTAGTAAGTCTTCAGTGGGACCATTCCTGCGAGATCCAATAACTGATCGATGGTTTTCCTTTCAGCGATCAACCGACAATCAACCTCCGTTTGGAGGACTTGAAGGCCCTCCACGCATACATCGTGTCAGATTGGGATGACTGGGTTCGCAATGCACCAGCGTCTTGGAAGGATGACGGTTGGCTCCAATCCCGCGCACCTTTATCCGTAGCCTGTAGGTATGGACAAAACCAAGCAATTGCAAGCTTAAACCCGACCGCTCGATGCGTGGAAGCGGCGAATTGGCAAGCGGAGCGAGAATATTCCAATATCCGCTACATGTCGATGGCTATCGCCACCGATCTTACGTGCGTACCGTTTTTCCTTTACTATGAACCACTCTCTCACTTGACAACCACAACCATTATCATTAGCTGCAAACCAGTCTCTCGATGGGAGAAAATACCTGAGGATGAGTTGCTGGACGCCCATGACATCATATATGATTCCCCAAACTCTTCCTTCCGGCAGCCGGTGAATTTGGAGGACTTTCCTCCCCGCGATCCTGACACGCAGAAAGAAAACAACATCTACGACGAAGATGGTCGTCGAATTCCCCGCTTTGATGGTCTGTGCAGTCCCAACGTGAAGCCTTGTGGCGTTCTCATCAACCTCGAGAGTATCACCGAGTTGTTTTCTGCAATTATTGCGGAAGATGATGGCTTGGCCTTCGATCCTGATATCATCATGGACGATGAAAATCTTGGTATTCCTCGCGTCAGTGTTTATCCCCAGGCCTTCCTCAGGAAGTATGGTCACATTCAATGCAACACCGTTTTACCCCACTTCACTCCATTCATATCGAAAATTCGCAATGCCGTATCTCGCGACACAGTCGGTCAAGACGATTTGGATGACGAGGCCTTGGACGACGATCTTTTTAATGACTTTCCACATGGGTTTCCACCTGCACTCTTGGCTAGCGGCTGCCAGTTCTATAATGAGATCTCGCATCGCATCAGACCGTCCGCCGCCTTACATGATGTCCAGCAAGGTCGCATCACTTCCGCTCTCTCAGGTGCTTACGCCACTACCCGCAACGCTCAGACTGCGCACAAGATGGTTCTTAGAGAGTGCGGTCTGCATTTGCCTCACCAACGCTATGACAACAAGATCGATATAAATGATGTTCCCCGCGCATTACGCCTAGAGAACATTTACATCGTTCAATTAGACTCTCTGAAGTCTGCGAAGCGAAATGGATCGTGAGTTGTTTTGTGATTGTATATGCCCAAGCCTTCGATGCAGCTGACACGATGCGCCTCGCCAAAGATCAATATATAATGACATGGTTGTACCATTGGCCAGTTACTGGTCACACCCCACTATCTTTGAGGCCATTCGCCCACACCTGTTTGTTTTGACTGCTGAAGTGCGTCGCCATTATATAACCTATGAATGAAGACTCACCATCCTCCCTTACAGGCATTTCCCCATGTCTATCAATGGACCACTTATCCCATAACGTCCTTGCTCGAGCGTATGTGGGAACATTTCCTGCCCGTCATCGCCAAAGGTGGTAAACCTACCCCTCAAGTTGTTGAACTATGTTCTGTCCTCGAACGCGCGTTGGCGTATGCTCACACTGGCAATGCAAAAGTACTTGCTACAAGTCTCATGAGGCCTTTGTGGTTAGTAAAGAGTCTCTTGGAGCAAGGTCTTCCGACCTTCGCCCCATCAGTGCGCTTCCCCCACGCTCCCTGCGTTCCTGTCGCCATCAGTCCTGTGGATTGGCCTACCCTCACCAACATGAATGCCCCAGCCATTGCATCCAAGCGCTCTCAAATGTTGACGTACGGGAATGATCATTTTGAAGTATGTATCGTCTCATTCTGTCTTTGTCCTGCCATTGATCGAGCTCCTCTCCTAGGCATATAAGGCAGAGTTTCATATACAGCTGTCAATTAATCAGCTGGCGCCCAATGCCTTCAAGCGCTACGCTAGCAACGTCCGTCATGCCACGATCATCGCAGTGGTCGCCCTTCAAGTGTACATAGCCGATGTCAAGACACTCGTTGCGGGTGGTGTCACCACCGCATGCAACGTCATGGAGGCAGAGGATGCCATAGATGGTGAACTCCATGCATTACAGCGGCGCAGAGGACTTCGCAAATGGCTTGGGACCAGTCATCCTCTTGGATATGTCAATAAAGGATACGAACATTTAGTGTCTTGTGTGCTTCCTGAATCCACTGCACACTGCGAAGGGTTGCCAAATCCAACCAAAGACAAGCTATCCATCCAAGATTTTGCTCGCCTGATTTGTGATATGTCTCGAGGGACCAACCCTGTCGCGATCGCCGCTCCTCTCATCTTCAATGGGGGTTCGACTCCCGTCTTTCGCGTTGCTCTTACATACATGCGCAAATATGCCCCACAAGATTCTACCAAGTCATCGGAGAAGTTCTTGCAGGAAGCATTCATCATCGCAGCCAATCATCTACACATCAACAATATCCCATGGCATCGTCCGGCAGGACTGCGCGGCAGGCGGTGTCAGAAACCTGTCTTTGATTCCTGGGTCAATCTAGGGAAGGCCATTGACTTACAAGCTATTGAGCGTCATCATGCCCAGTTGGGCAACGCTGCGGCCGATGCGTCTCAACGCGCTCAGGCCACAGATACGAGGGCAGCTTGGTCTGCCGAGTTGATTACCTTGCAGTCATTGGCCGATTACATCCTTCGCTCTCGTCTCCCTGATGAATTCGCGATCGAGAGCATCGAGCTTGGAGGCGCAGCCTCGACAGCTGGCAGCGAGCCCAGCCCGAATACGATCTATGAATGGGTTTTTGCAAACTTCGACATAAATAAACCTCTCCATTACATCGCACTTATCGCCGGTATCTATGTCAGTCGGATTCTCCCTGATTTATTCTTCGCAGACAGCGACAAGCCGCGAGGGAATGTGACCAATCCTATCATGCTCACGAAGGCAATACGTGCTCTCCCATGGAAGCCCAACTCCAGTGGTCGCAAAGGGTGCAAACTACCAAGCCAGTTTATCGCCATGGTTCCTGCTTATATCATCGCGGTATACACCCCAACAAGCCCATTGCGCATTCATTTGAAAAATAGTACTAAAAGCTTTCCCTCTATCTGGAATTCCAAGAACAGTGCGAAAGGTATCACGCCACTCCTTCTTGTGCGGCTAGGCCTCGCAAATGCCCTATCGCACAGAATTTGGAAAGGCGGGCCGCCTTTAACGCATTGGACGTTACTCTCTCCAGAGGACATAACCGCCAAACATCGTGAGATCCATGCGTGTTTGGCCGATCGCCAGTACGGTCCCTTCCGCATCGCAGTTATATTGTTAGGCATTGATAAAGCTGTCAATCTTGGGCGCACGTCTCAGACATACACCATCAATCCTGCTATTGCATCTATCAGGGTCAACAAGCACTTGTTGAAAGCCGATTCTGACGACGATGAGGTTGAAATTGTGGAGGTGAAAACGGTGAAACGTGCTCGTTTGCATTGATACTGTAATAATCATATTTTCATTGTATACTATAACCAATCCTTTTGGTGCACCTGTCGGCTCACCTATTATTACCATAGCCTCGCTGAGAGTCAACAAAAAATGATACCGGTCCAAATTACGGCATAAAAAGGTAGATTTTCTTGATAGAAATCACGAGCTCTCGCATGAATATATCTTGATTCCTGTACGTCGTACGACACTGTATCCATCGCACATCTGGATTGTGGAGAGATGGGTCGTTCCAACAGGTCTGACAAGCTCATCCATTACTAAATGTGATGCGTTTTTGGTGCATATAACGCGCACTCCAGGACAAGAGTACCACTAATAGTTGGGCGTAGCCACCTCGTAGCGAACACAGATGTACGAAGAAACGCTGACAGGTTAGCTTGTGTGTTAGTGAGTGGGTGTTCTCTTCCAGATGCCTCATTTTTAATGCTACGTTAATTTTCAGGCTAGACTTGCAGTCCCTGGAGGGACTCAGAGTCAGATGCAATTGTTCTCGTTTCTAGAGGGTGTGCAAACGAGCTGCGGAGGAACACGACGAGTTCCTCGAGCAATACTGCTGACATGGACCTTGTGTTAATCTTTGTAAGCTCAGCGTGCTTGTCTTTGACGCATTTCGGGACTGATGTTTGATCAGTCTGGTCTTTCATCGTAGCGATGGAGCCTAATCTTAGTCCCGACCAGTTCCTACCATACGTGAACGGAACGACGGGCTGCTGACTCACATCTTGCGCAAATTGTTGGTGATGTTCGTGGTGAAGGCAGTAAGAGACACTGTATCATCTTCGATGGTGATGTTGATCCTGAGTGGGTCGAGAACTGAATAGGTGCGTATCAGGACTGGGTAGTTTTGCGACTGTCTAACGTGATTGCAGTGGGCTATGATAACAAACTGCTCACGTTGCCCAATGGTGAACGTCTGAACCTCCCGCCTAATGTTCGCATCATGTTCGAGGTCGAGCATCTTCGCTATGCCAACTTGGCGACCGTTAGCTCCTTGGCCACTTTCTGTCGCTGCATTGACATCTGGAACGGGATAACCGCGCCCTGCATGTCATAGAGGTCGTCGCTGTCCACCTGGTCCGAGCGCGTGATGAACTCTTGACCCTCTGCCTTCACTAGGTTCGCAGGCCACTCATCGAACTTCTAATACGACTCGGCCGACAGATCAGGCCCGCAATGAGGGCAGATGATACAAGGCCAGGTCGAGATGATCAAATGTTGAAGACATGAAACACCTAGGATACCTCCCATCGAGTAAATCGTCGAACATTCGTCAGTTTCGTTCCAGGAATCGCAGGTATCTTGTGTTAGAAGTGTGGCCGAGACGTTGTACTGACTCGACGATATTCTAGGTCCGCTATGCTGGTACACCATTATATGCTATGTACGTTTGGATGGCTAAGTAATCGATGTTGTCTTAATGGGCTGTCTCTCATACTCAGCATTAACATCCATCGTATGTCTACTCGCATGCGCTGCACATATTTTCTCTGATCGACCGCATGCATGCAGCATCTCTTCCGAGAACTTCGGTAACAGATTCGATGAGTATTCTGCACCGCTGCTCCGCATCCATGTCCACTTGATTGTATTCCTCTGCAGGGGTGAGTGAGTTACCGAGCCTCCTGCTTCGATATAACGATTGCTATAGCTGTGGGTTTGTTTAAAGTTATCACCGGAAGCAGTCGCGTGGAAGCGTGGTGCGCTTTTCTTGGCCAATTCTCCATCAAACGAATTTGCACATATTGATGAATTTGGAAACGAGGTCATGGTATGCAAAATCAAATTGTAGAGCAACAAACCCAGACGACTGGTTGTCACGTAACGTTACGGAGAAGCATGCTGCGGCAAAATGGACGGTGAAAGATGGTGAAGAGGGATGTCAACCGATCCTAGTTTTGATGTTGAAATGGGGAACTCAAGTAAGGCTCTGAAATATGCTTCAAACAGCAGAACGGCCTAGGCGAGCACCGCATGTAGAAGTTGTGATTTGAAAGCGAAATTCATACGCTGAACGTCTCAGTGTGGAATTATTTAAGATGATGGCATGTTATCGCTAGACTCACTGAACTCAGCGATTCGGAGCGTGACAGCCTCGAGGAAGAATACGAAGCACCGGTGACCCTGACGTGGAGCTGCGCTGATCTATAGTAGAGTGCTGTCAAGCTGATAGGAAGATAATAAGTGAATCTACGGTGAATCATTCTCAAAATACATAAGCACGGGACAGAATAATGGGCAAAAAAATTGGCGAGATAATATGGACGGGTTTCAAGGGCTACGTGTAGACGTAAAAACGGTGTGATCGGGTACTGAGTACTGATGGATCAGGCGTGCGGAAGCAACGTGTTTGCAAGTAAGTGAATTATCAAAGGATGACCATAGATGGACGACTAGCAGACCTGTGGCCGCGGAGGTGAAACTTTTGTTAAATAGACTAACATATTTGGGGTGAACTGAAGAGGTAGCCTGCAGGAATCGGATATGGCTGTCAGAGACGCGATGGTCAGTGCTCAGTCAGAAGCAAACGACCACGTACAGGACAGTATTACACTTTCAGAGCCTTATCATAGCTTCCAGTACAGCTCTATCTCCTGCGCGGAGAACTCCGTAAAAGGAGGCCATGATCTCAGACTAGTCTTCTCAGGCTGCTACGGAGTGAGGTATCAAAAGGGCTCCAAGACGTGGTCCGCAACTGGTGAAAGATATGCCGAACCCATTTAGACCGGTTGTTTCAGTGGAAAAGTAAGAGATCCCTCAAATATTTCTGCCATAGTGCTGCCGCTGGTATGGCATCTTCAAAAAAATGTGGTAGGAGCGTGATGTATCGTCGTCTCAATCGATTCGACATGTGACGGAGCATGTGACATTGACCAAAAAAGGGAAGTTCGATTGCTCTTGACTCCTTCCTTCCCTCACTGAGTACAGTAGATCCAGTCCAACTCATCCGTAGTAGAGGACACCTTAACGCACTCATGAACCATGCGGATCCTTTCATGGAACATTGTAAGAAATGATCTCAAATTTTTCACGAAAGAATGTACTCTGACATTCTGCTTTGGCCGACAGAATGGTGTCAGAACTCTTCCTCAATATCACCCGTGAGTTATCCATGATTTCTACCTGGTTTCCAAGGGCCTAAAAACCATAGATGGAATGCCTTCACTTCATTTCAGGCAATCCTGGAACATCTCAAGGCAGATATAATCTGCTTTCAAGGTGCGGGTTGTTCATTCATTTCACCTTCCCCTGTCGAATGCCCCAACCTTATCTATCCAAGAAATGAAAACCTCGCGTTCCGGCCTGTCACGCTGTGCTGCTTTACCAGACGATTTTGAAGCTTTCTTTTCCTTCCCACAGAATAAAGGAGGGTATAGTGGTGTCGCGGTTTACGCTAACTCCCGTACTGTCATTCCCCTCCGGGCAGAGGAGGGTCGGTCTCTCCGGCATCTTGCAGCCTAAACCGACTCTGACGTCGGATGATCGGATATCTCGTTCATATCCCTGCGCACATGAAATCGAACTAATGCCGGACGAGCATGGATCAACCCCAAGCGATTTCGCTGCCTTAGATGCTGAAGGCCGTGCCCTGATCGTAGACTTTGGCCTATTCGTACTGATTAATTTCTATTGTCCAAACGAAACTTCTGATGCTCGTCTTCCTTTCAAAATAAATTTCCACGTCATGTTGCAGGATCGAGTCGAAAAGCTCATGAATGAAGGCCGGGAAGTTATGGTCGTCGGTGACATCAATGTTTGTGCAACGCCATTGGACCATTGCGACGGTAATCTTGCTAGTAACACTGCAACTTTCTACGACCATCCTGCTCGTGCGTGGTTTCATAGGTGGTTGAGTCCTATTGGTTGCATGACAGATGCCGTGCGGACATTCTGGGCCTGGTAGAAAGGCAATGTACACATGTAAGACGCAAGTGTGGTTGATCTCTTCCCATCTTTAATATACTTTTTATGTTAGGTTGGAACACGAAAATTTCGGCTCGAGAGACCAATTATGGTACCCGGGTTGACTACATTCTCGTTACACCCGGTATGCTTCCCTGGATCAAGCACGGAGACATTCAGCCATCGCTCAAAGGCTCTGATCACTGTCCAATATATATCGATCTTCATGACGAAATAACAACTGACGCTGGTGAACGATTATTTCTCCGTGACGTCTTGCCAATCGACAGGAATCGGGAAGACCTGCCTCGGCTCGCAGCACGACGATGGGAAGAGTATTCCGGGAAGCAGAAACTGCTGTCCATGTTTTTTGAGAAAGGGAACAAGCCGCATCCACCTAGCAATTCTCCGCTTTCGTCGCTTTCGCCCACTCCAGACACACAACTCCCCAGGGATTATTCTGGTGCTGCACAGCCCAATCACACGCAGTCTGCCATTGTTATTCCATCTCCAAATTCCTCGCTGAGATCTCGTAATGCGGCGTGCGCATCCACGAGTCAGCTCCCCGAACCATTGCTACAGTCGAATCCCAGTCAGTCAGGCCAAACTGCGCCCCCAGCTAGTTCTACCAAACGCAAGTCATCAGACAATGCAGCCAAGAAAGCGCCCAAGAAATTGAAAGGTGGTCAAAGCAAACTCTCCTCGTTCTTTGCGCAACCGACAGTCTCGCATCCTTGCAGCCAAGAATTTTCTCCAAGCGAGGTCACCCATTACCAGGACTACATAGATTCCGACCATCAGCTCGCACTCGAGCTTGTCGCTTCACTTGAAAAATCTGCTTTCACAGGGCTTAGCTACCTCAGCGACGCCTTCGGCTTCGCAAAGTAAAGCGGCGTGGTCACAGCTGATGGCTCCCATCCAACCACCAAATTGTCTTGTACACGGTGAACCTGCGAAGGAGCACACCGTTAGCAAGCCGAGTTCAAACAAGGGGAAAACTTTTTTCCTCTGTTCAAGGTCTGTCCCATCATGACCCTTCATTTCGCCTCTATCTGGTTCCTTTCATTTAGACCTGTCGGCCCGGGGTATGACAAAGGTAAAAGCGAACGTCTTCGCGAAGAGGTGGATCACCGATACATGGGGCAACGACGTCAGACGGGAAGCCAAAGACAAATTTTCCCCGTCATGAAATCAAAAACAGCCTCGAAGCAAATTACACTGGTTGCATACACATACATACCTCGGGCCACGGTTGCTCTTGTCCTTCATTAGGCATTTATTTTGGGGTGTCATTGCATGAGCATCAGACACGTGTTTGGTGCGTGGTTTACACGAAATAACCACGAGGCTGACATCCATCCACGACAAATCCACGAAGATAATTATACCTTTTGTACCTCTGAGTGCTACGATCCGCAACTCAACGCGCGGATGATAGACTATAATAATAATATGTTCATTATGTATGCTGTTGGTCTGGGACTATTCTCCCCTTTAGCGCACGACATGTAATGCGCTTCACAGCAGCCACCACTTTCTTGACGTTAAGCGAAATACATAAATTTTTTGCGTACGACACGGCGGCTATATTATAGAATAACAAAATACGAAGCGCAATCCGCCTACACGGCAGCAGCGACGATGACGTGGGGCGGCAGACATTAGACGGACGGCTAACTTGATCCTCGGATTTGTTTCTTGGCAGTTCCAATCATGGTATTATTTACCTACAAAAGGCTTAGAAGTCACCACATGGAACAACGATGGGGTTCACCTTCGTCGCGAATCGCCTCGGAAGAGCGGTCTCCCGCTGGCGTTGTCCATATGCGTACCGTACCGTCGTGGCTGCCCGTGGCGAACATGAAGGGTTCGTCGGTAGAATGATTCCACGCAACACATGTCAAGTCCCCGCCGAATGTTTGGGGTCTAATGTAATGGAGTAAAGCCGCACTATCGCGATCCCAGATGTGGATATCGCCCGCTGTGTCCGAGTATTCATAAGTACAGCTTTTAGACGAAGCCGACAGGTTAGGAGAGACGTACCTTTTCCTGCGCATAACACTAGCTGGTCCTCCTTGCCGCCAAAGTAGCTAGAGCCCGCGATATCCACCTGAGCTTTGGGCAGATACGTATGACGGAGAAGCAGCCTAGCGACTTGTGCAAACGAGTGTTGTTCACGACCTCTGGCATCCCGTACCAGCTCCATCTTCCACAACTGTGGAGGTGTCTACGAATACGATATAAGTGATCAGAAGATGCAAAGATATTATGACTCTCAGTACCTTGCGCTCAAAAGAAATCAGCACGTTTCCACCCCTTTTGGATATTGTGATATCACGCACGTCGTTCACGACGGGTGTCTGACTTTTGAACTCCATCAGTAAAGATATTTGAAAAGATGAAGGTAGCTCACCTGTCGAATTGCTTAGTCTCAGTATTGAAAACTAGGGTATACGAAGTCAACCAGATGGCCTACAATATGGTTAGTTTCTTCAGATAAGCATTCGCGCATGACCAAATCGAGTGCTTGAGAATCTGGAGCATAAGTTGGGCGCGCATAGTATGAGACGAAACGTACTTGATTGATGCATACGTAAATTCACGTCACACTAAGCTTCTCTACAATAGACGGTCCCGACTGACTGATGTGCAAATCAATCTATCATCTCCAAGACGATCCAAGCGAACTTTGCGGTCTTTGAAGTTTGCTGTTGTTTTACTGCTCTACAACCTCAGGCGTGTATTAATATAGTGGGCGCGCCTTGCTACTGATCAAGGAATAAAGTTGGACTGGGTTTAAAAAGTTTGGTATCGTGTGAATTTTAATTTATGTGTTACAACACTAAGTCATAGTAGACCGCCTTGACCTCTCCAGCTGCGGATGGGTAGGAGCCTGAGTAATAAGTATCGTATGTGTCTTCAGCCTCCCGCGTCAAACCTGTCAGTTCTTCCTCTGGACTGTGGGCATAACCAGCAGTGCTTTACTGAACACAGCCTAGCAGTTTCGCAGACCATTCATGGAGCTTCTAATACTACTCGGTCGAAAGATCAGGCCAGCAATGAGGGCAGATGATACAAAGCCAGGTCGAGATGATCAAATGTCGAAGACATGAAACATCCGGGAATGCCCAGAGCGTTACCACATGTCTTTGTGGATAATCCCCCAGTGACACACTACTACATGCGCTTATTTGATGATTTTAGGCATTTTTACGTCGTGAATCAGAGTACATGCCATTGGCTTCTTTCTCATTCATGATTCATACTCTGGCATTCAACGCCGCCTAGCTCCATACAGGGCTTGCAAGATGCTCGTGGCGCAGTGAGTTATCAATAAAATATTAAATTAAAATCGATTTTACGATTCACCATGTTCATATTATATAGGCAATGGTGTACTTTTGACTGGCAGTCAAACGGCCATTACAAGGAGCCAGCAACCGTCTGCAAATTGTCCTCTCATCTTATTAACGGCTCATAACTGCAATCGACATGGCACGTCGCAACCACAACACATCTGGAGATGGGGAGACACTCACTGTACGTATGCATGATCAGTTTGACGCCCAATTTATGAGTCACGGATGGCAGGTGGATGAGCTGCGTGCAATGATGAACAAGCGCCCTGTCCAGGCGAAGGAGCCAGCGACCAACCCGGCGAAAAACACTCAGAGGATGGACGCAGCGCTCGCGAAGTGTAAGATCGGTGTGGCGTACATCGATATACTCAAAATCAAGAACTCGTTGGTATTCGGCAGATATAACGATCGGCCGCAGGAGCTCAAGGAGGTGAACAAGCTTCTTGCGTCGTTCAAGAAGGATGGAATCCTGGCGATGCGAGAAGCGACAGCGATACCGATTATGATATCGGGCGCCCGCGTGAAGACCGGGTTGAGCCTCGCAGTCAACTTTGACATCCCAGATGCTGTGCCGCAGTTACAATTGAAGGACGTCAATGACATTGTCGTAGCATCGGGACAACATCGCGTTGCTGCGTTGAAGAGATATTTTGAAATCGTTACTGGAGAGATGATGCGTATCGAGCAACGCTGCGACGATATAGCTGCGCTGGATAATTTGAGCCCAGACCACCTCACCGAGTTCAACAGGCTTCGCGACCAACTGGATGAGCTGCAGGAGATAATAAGTCTAATGGGAAAATGGGGCATCATCGCATATGATGAAGGTGAGCTCTATCGCTGTCTTTATTATGCTAGTGGAACGGTTGCAGCAGCTGGGTAACAAGTCGTGCATTTGATGTGCCATTCAAGGGACTGCATGTTTGGGTTCGCAGGCATTGGATGAAACTATTCTAGTTGTTGTTGGGATCGGTTCTCGCTGCAACGGGTCCCTAGTGGAGGTATAGGCATCCGGCGCTGATCGGTATACACCTACAGACAGCGTGTTGGCGGATGGCGACATGTTGGCAGACCACTTGTGTCGAAACAAATTCTTGCACGACTACAATGAGACCGCAGAAGAAGTGTTGAGCAAGATCTTGCGATCGGTGAGAAAAGCTCACAACGATGCTTCTGAGCATGAGCGAGTCGCGGCAGCACTGCGTGAGCTGTGGATTCAGCGCGATAATACCGAGCGGCACAAGAATGCACGGTTGACGAAAGTCACGAGCTACGACCTGCTCGTTTTAGTGCTCGCGCTGCATCTCCTGCCGTTGGGACCACACTTTCGCCGTCGCAAGGAGTTCCAAATCACCTGGCTCGCCAACTCAATTGATGTAGTCATGGGGGTAAGCAGCGACATTTATATTTGCACACACAGTCCTTACGCATTATTACAGATGTTCATTCAATTTATTATGTTCCACAGTCACATTCTGAATTTGCTTGCATCGAGCGATGACTTCCCGGACTATGCAACAGTGACCAACATAATCTCGGTAGCATCCAGTGATGGGACAGACCGCAACGCTTCGGTCGAGCAACTTGCAGTGTGGCGCACGCAGATATACGACAGCAGGGCCAATACTGAAGTTACCATTTTCAACGATGTGTTCGAGGATGTGTCCGATTTCGTTCAAGAGGAGTTTCGTAATATTCCTTTAACGAATGTCGGGACCAAGGACCCCCAGTACATTAACAGCCTGGACAATTACTCGCACTACCTTGTCAGCAAGTTGCGCTCAAAGTGGCGCCTTGCGACAACAAAGCCCTCACAATGGAATGACATTACCCGGTTTCACGATAGGGTTGTGGCAAGGATTGCCGTGTGGTTGACCCCTGAAGATTTCGTGCAAGAGGCCCCGTTACCGCTGTTGTGTGGTCACCTCCTCGATATCGCATGGAGTAGTCTAATATCGAACATCGCTGCATTTGAGGAGGTGAGAATTCGAATCACATACGATACCTGATGTTTTACTTACATGTTGTGTTAGATCAGCGGATGGTTCGAGCCTCTGCTGCTGCACTATCGGATACTCCATCGCAACGGCCATGCGATGGATGACAAGTCCCAAGTAATGTTCACGAACCTTCGCAACGAATCCAGGATAAGCGAGCGCGAGATAATAGAAGAGGCGGTATGTGTGATGGAGCATCATGCTGTAGATCGCGCCCATATTGACGGAACAGGTGTTTACTTGCTTGTGGGCACTCCGCGGGACGCTGGTCCTGCGGCTGCAGAACAATTTGACGACAGTGTCAGCTCGCAAGAGGAAGAGCAAGCCGTTTAAAGACCGAAAGGAGGTCGACAAAGCGTTCGCACAGCTAGGGTCCGATGCGCAGGACAATCTGCAGAAGTTGCATACGTTGATGTTGGCAAGGAAGGGACGAGGACGGGATCTAACTTCTGAGCTGCAGGATGTCCCTGGAATCCTTGCCATGCACGTCACGAGCTGGGACTGGCATACTCGCATAACAAAAAATGGCAAGCGGGACACAGAGCCACTGATCAAGGTATTATTGCTTGATCTTGTCAAAATTCGCAAAAGACGCGAGGGTCTATTCAAAGATCCGATGGTTGCAGGTCTTCGCACAATCCTGGAGGGGGTGATTGCCAAGCATACGAGAGCAGTTAATACATATGAGGAGAGCGGCCAGATCGTCAAGCGTAAGAGGTGGTTATGGTACGATGGAGCCAAGATTCCGCCGAACGTCACTCCTACAGTGGAGACTGTACTCACTGCGGACTGTCACGCGATACACGCACGCATGCAGAGTTGCCAGGACATGGAGGGGAATGATCGCGCTGCTATCATGAAGCTAGTCGATTATGTCGAACGCATGTCAATTGCAAAGGCGACATCGACCCACAGTCTGGTAGCAGCGAATGTCGTTCGAGGGCTCGCGAAGCTTATACGCGTACGTGCTAATATTTTTTGGCTTAGCATAGAAGAGTCGAATGACTAACTATCTATCTGTTATAGGAATTGGAGACCAATAGTACACGTCTCCGCACGCGAGCACTAGAGAAAGACGATAGTTTCACTTATGACATCACGGATACTGTTGATCTCAAAATAGCTCTGATGCAAGGTTTGGAAGACGAGAATACCAATGCAAGTACATATATAATTGTTTCATCACCAGGTGACTACTAATATGCGTACTGAAGGGGGATCACACTGGTGAACAGGAAGATGAATCACCTGTGGTCGAACCGAAGCACAATGAACAACCCTCGAACACGACAGTAACCATGGTCGAAAATAATGATGGACACCCCGGGAGCCACACGTCTTCGGGATCTGGGCAGCCGAAACCTCGTCCCATAGCGCATTGCAAGAATAATAATAACACGACCACTCGTACTGACTCACACGATATGATAACTGATGCCTTCCAATTGACTGGATCATCCCCGCGCCCACAGAGCAAGGGAAAAGAAAGAGCGATAATATTTTGTGAGTATCCGCCAGACACCATTCGGTCTGTAGCTCACGCATCTCCAGCTAATGGTGATCGCTTTCAAGCGTTTGGGGAGAGCAATGTATCTGCTGGTCAAACGGCAGCAGGCGCACCTGCAGAGCACGAGCTTCAAATTGGCGAACATGCGTTTGACGACAATCCAGGTGATAGTTGTGACGCCAGTGAAACTGCAGCAGGCGTGGCTACACAAGGTGAGACAGGTGAGGATGGGGGCAACGCCGCAAGTGGAGATGTCACGAATGGGATGTTCTCGGTCGCAGCACCGCGGAAAGAACCTTGTCAAAATACTAATACCGACGTCATTATTCCTTTCGTGGGTACGGCAACTATCGATCAGACTGAGCAAAGTAGTGCGCCAATGATTGTTAGAAGATTTCACTCAGGCTAACCATCATTCAGCAGCTCGAACACAAACTGCCTCTCAAGAACAAGATACAGTGACTACTGGTCGATCAGTTCCCAGGTGCATCGCGCATACTGCCAGGGCTTCTTTAAAGCGTCCAAGCGCTCCTACAGGTAAGTTTCCACTTCTCCATCTGTGTAAATAGCTATTTGATATAACATTGTAGCAGCCACCCCAGGTCACTCGAGCAAGAAGGCTCGCAGCACTGGGTCCACTTACACTGCTAACAACGATGCCAATGACCAATTGGTTGTTATTAAAGCCAATATGTAACGTGTTTCCTTTGTAGTGCATGATGTTGTTATAGTAGAGTCACTAATACTGAAGTGTCATAATTATATACAAGGCATCCCCGACTCCCACGTTATTGGAGGGACGGCTTTGTCGAACGCAAACGGATTCCCATCACAAACAAGAGTGCAGTTCGAGCTCCAACTTACTAATTGAGTGGTGCATATGCTATAAAAGACGATCCGCGCGTTGCGCCCTTATCCCATCCAATCATTTCAGCGTCACTCAAGGGTGATCGTCCGGCGGTATTTTTTATATCAATTAGATCAGCCCCAGTAAAGTGAACCAACTTCTGCACTACTTCGAGATGCTGGTTCAGCGCTGCTTGGTGAAGGGCAGTCGGGCCGGCGCTATTTTGTGCAGACAGGGCGGAAGGGGTGACAAGAGGAAGAAGATAATCCAGCACGTCTACGATATGCCTTACGCGAATCGGTTCTCGTGGTATGGAGATTGTGATACGATGAGATCGCATCTCACCTATGTGTCCATTTCTGCATGTCATGTGTAGCGCAGTGTTTCCGTTGTCGTCTCGAACACGGGAGAGGACGTCTGAGCCGAATTTTGTCACTCGAGCGAATGGGTGAGTGAATCCTCTCGCGTGCTTCAGATAAGCATTCGCGCATGACCGAATCTAGTGCTTGAGAATCTGGAGAATAAGTTGGGCGCGCATAGTACGAGACGAAACGTACTTGATGCATACATAAGTTCACGTCACACTAAGCTTCTCTACAATAGACGGTCCCGACTGACTGATGTGCAAATCAATCTATCATCTCCAAGACGAATTAGAGTGCGAGTCGTCAATGATGATTGTTATTCATGATAGCGGAAAACACTGAGAGATAACAGAAGGAGGATATCAAAATGAATCTTCTAACATCATGAATTTGACTACCATCGGTGGACGGAGATGCCCAGAAGAGGAACAGCACAACACGAGCCCACCACTTTGGGTTCTTCATGTGTTTGCCCTTGTCGTCAGCTCGGAAATAGAGGGTTGTGTAGAGGGTTGTGCAGACGGAATAGAAGGAATAACTGATTTCGGGGCGAACCTGGCTGTTCCAACCCAGGTTGAACCAGAACCACCTTCATGATCTTCGAACAGTCGAAGGGGTGCGGAGTGTAGAATGAGCTGAGCCAATTTCTGAAGGTTGATGATTTTGAGGACGATCGAACTTGAAGCGAACTTTGCGGTCTTTGCTGTTGTTTTACTGCTCTACAACGTCAGGCGTGTATTAATATCGTGGGCGCGCCTTGCTACTAATGTATCGGTACCTTTAGATTTCAAATTTCAATTGTAAGAAGTGGACAACCAGATACGTCTGCACCAACCGAACAGTGAGGAGCTACTAGGCTGTCATTTCTTCATGACTGTTCTGGGTGTTATTCTGCGACTCGGAAACCTTAGATTGTGACACGTGGGGATGTGATTACAGCGTCAGGTATCAGAAACAAGCTGCAACGCTGTCGGGAAACCAGGCTCCAGTCCGAGCTACGTCAGGGCCCAATCGAAGACTCGTGATGAATTATGCAGTTGCACAAAGTTGTCCCAGGAGCTCCAATGGCTTTGCGATCTGAGAAACACGTTGCTTGTCTCCACTTGATGCGCTTTTGTGTATAGGCGTTCCTAAACAAGGCTATTCTGCGCGTGTTGCGTGGTGCAGTACCCTGATCAGCATGTTGGCGATATACCATGATTGAATTTCTCGCGAAGCTCGTCGGTGAAATGCGTAAGTGGTGCACCTGGTTTCAGTTGAAGCCGATAAAATAAGAGTCTAGGACTGACTTGGAGTTTTGTGCGTACTACAGAAGAGATTGGAGTGTAAGCCTGCTGCTTACTAGACGCTTCGTCTGTGCTGAAGCTTACTAAGCAAATCGTTAAACAAAGGTAATGTGAAAGGAAGGCGTGAATACTGTTTCTGAATAGATACGAAGTGCTCAAGACTTGTATCTTTGTCCTAACGATTTGCGGTTTGGTTCAAGGTAATGTACAAGAGTATTTCGCAAATGAATTTTGATGCAATGCTTGATACAAAATTTTGCCAGTTTGGGGGGAGGGTTTCGGTTGCGACGCTCGGTGATTGCCGAGTGGATGTCTCCAGGCGATGTCTCGAAGTTAGAAATCAATGTTAAGCCCTGGTAGACGCGTTTTGCTGATCACGTGATCCAAGAATTTGACGCGTTTGCACAAGGGTTTCGGGCTCTTGATTTTGACTGCGGGACAGAGTAAAATCGAGACTGAAGACAGTGAGAAGAAAGACAAAAGCAACCGAAGCCTCGAGTGTGAGGTTTTGGATAATGTTTCGAAAAGCACGACAGAACCCAATCCGAGCAGAGCTCACAAACAGTCGTGCTCGAAACGTGCGACTCCCCCAAAACGAGCGAAAAGCGCTGGATTACACGAATAAGAAGAACAAGTGCGTATAATTAACTATAACGACGTGCGTACGAGTCCATTGACGAATTAACCATAGCAGTACGTGAGTCTGAGAATGATGATGTAACAAAAAGTGGTAAAATCGATTCTATCTTGCGCCAGTATTCTAAGAAAGCTCTTGACTTCCATCGACCTTGAACAGCGACGACGTCTGGTGGTACTCCGCGTAGAAGAAGTTCCGTTGCTCCACCAATGCGAAAACAATGACCTGTTAGTTCCAACAGGTTGGCCAACCTCCAAATCTCATTACAACGCGCTAAGAACCAAGGTCTGGTCATCGCTGCCCATCCACCTTCTGATGTTTCAAATGCGAAGAAAGGTGCGTCGAGAGGAACTGCTGCATTAGCAGTGAGATGATGGTTAATGGCCGTGTATGCGTTTGTAATGTCGTCTAGACTGGAAATGATGATGTCTGCTCCTTCTACGTGCGATGTTTTCGTCCAAGGAATGTGCAATACGGAATATTTAACACCGTCCGGAGGTGAACGACGAGTAAAAGGGGAAGAGCGAGAAACGTGACGTGAAGGATCAAAAAGGCTCGTGCTAACAATGATGAGTTCTCCGAGCCTTATGAACGTTGAGTTTTACGAACAAAGTCATGGTGTATAATGTGCGTACCTGCAGCAAGACCAGAATGCGGTGCAGGCGACTGCAAAAACAGACGCGTCAAACGCGTTGGAAAGGTCTAGACCGCGAAAAAGAGCATGCATATGTTCTAGAGTTACAGGGGGACGACGAGGTCGTTTCGATGATTCAGGTACGACTTTTGCAAGACCTGCGGTGGCCGAACGGAGAATGCTATGTCCGAACCACGGGGCGCCGTGAAGATTGTGCCAAAAATGCAAGCCAGCTAACCAGTTTTGTGCTGTTGTGGCTGCGACCTTTCCGGCCCAAGATGCGACGAAGGAGGCTAAGAGAAAATCAGATGCTGGCATACGACGATATTCTGGTATGTGCCTCGAATCACAGTATTGGTGAAACCGCAGTAGACCAGCACCATAGTTTTCTCTTGTTTTTGTCTCTATAGAGACCAACATGACGTCAAAAAGCTGCAGAACGTCATTTAAAGGCAATTGTTCGAGGGCGGACAAGCGAAAAGAATCTGAGTGAGGCGCTGACCATAAGCGGAGGCGGTCGCGTGCAAGAACGTGAGGACGAAAAGCTGATGCAGAGAGTTCATTTCCTTTTTTCGGTTTTCGTGGCTTTTTGCGAGAGTGTGTAGCGATGGGCGGCTCCCCAATTGAAGGAGGAGAAGCCAACGCCTCCTTCAAAAGGGCCAGGGCTACAACGGCGTCGGCGTGTTGCGACGCCAAAGGTCTTTGGTTACTGGACATAAGGCAAAATAAAACTAACGAGCTCGCTCGGGAGCTCAGGGGATTGTAAACGAGAAGAAAGAGAACCAACCTCGCCGCGTGAGATTGGGTCAGCCTTATTCTGAGCTGATTCTGTGTACGAAAGAATGTGAAGAACGTTTGAGGCCATTGCTATTGCCTCGACGCGACGGATGCAGAGATTGACGTGGAAGTTTCTGCTTCTCCCGTGTTTGAACGCCCCGATAACACCTTGGTTGTCTGAGTGAACAATGACCGATGCGTTCATTAAGCCCTGATTGAACAGGGTTCGAACTGCCAGCTCGACGGCAACTGCTTCCAGCCATCCTATATCTCGGCCGTTACCCTTCCATCCTTGCTTAAGGGTCCATGCGTTCCATTTGTCTCCAAACAGTAGGCCAATCCCCCAGTCTGTTGACGCATCGACCCAAAGGTCAATGTCCTTGGGAGAACCGCGAGGTGACAAGCTACGGGCACTCGACGAAAGGGAAAGAGTGTTAAACCACCATTTTAGGTTGTTTTTGACTGAAGGGGGAGGGTGACGTATGGAGAACTTCGCGTTCGAAGGAAAAGATGCTATGAAGGTGCAAAGGTTTGCGAGGTAGGCGCGACCGTGCGGTATGACAAAGGCAACATGAGACAGAGTACCGTTTAGACTCATCGCGTCTTTGCATGAGATACCTTTTCCCTTGTTCAGCAAGTTGAGCAAGGACGTCAGCTTCGTGAGGTACTTTAGGCGTTTTTCGTCGGGAAGTGCGACTGAACGCTGAATTAAGTCCCAAAGAAAGCCCAGATAGATAAAGACGAAGGCGAAATCATGACACTTCTTTGGGTGCCATGGGACACCCATAGGCTTTGAGAGCCCATAAATCTCCGCGAGTCCGTGCTTGTACGTGAAAGGTGATAGGGAACCGTCAGGTAGTAGTAACCCGCCACTGACAGCGAATCTGAAAAAGGTATGATCGTCGACCCATTTTTTAATGGGGCCGAGTTCTAACGAGTGGAGAATGTCAACAGTGGCGTCTGCTACATGGCCTTGGACGCCTCCTGCTGTTGCGAGTCCGAATGGGAATACATGATCGATGAACAATTGTCCGTCAACTTCGACGACGAGGAAGCGTTTGTGTTGCGGCCAGACAGGAATAGTGCGGTAAGCTGCTTCGATGTCAAGCGTTGCCGCCTGTGTTCCTGGGGGTGATGATGCAACCTACAGACGAATAATTGTCAAATTAAGCACAAAAGGACGCATATATGCATTTATATGGTGACACCGATGTGTGCAGGTAATAATGTGCCTGAGCGTATAATAGAAGTCAACGCCGAAGCGTGCAAAGGGCAAGACGCCGAGGCGTGTAACAATCCAAAACGCCGAAGCGTGCAAAGGGCAAGACGCCGTGGCGTGCAAAGAGTTAAAACGCCGAAGCGTGCAAAGCAAAACGCCGAAGCGTGCAAAGCAAAACGCCGAAGCGTGTAAATGAAAACAGCGCCGAAGCGTGCAAATGTCATGGGAGGTTTGCTTACAATTTCAGCTACTTGTGCTGCTGTTCCCCACTCTGTGGGAAAATCGTCTGAGTCCAAGAAGCCGTTGACAGAGTAACCGTCTGCATTTTGGTAAGATAAGTCTCTGACTACACAAAACTTTCCCGGCTCTCCGGCTTTTTCGACGACGCCCAACGGCGATGATACAAAATGTCCACCAAGGATGTCGAAGACTTCGTTGCTTGGAAATGGACCGGACATCCTGCCTAAAGCGACCTCCTCTTGACAATAATTTCGAATGACATCTATATGATCTAGTGCTGATTTATGGTTTTTTGGGATATACGTGCGAGTGGGTGGAGGAATATCGCCAATAGGGAAACCGTGTTGCAAGTTGAATACGAGGTTTGGATATTTATCGAATAAGTTGAAACGTTTCAGGAAAAGGTCGTACACTTCCGGATCGTACGGTGTAACAATTCTGCGAAACACATTAGTTGCACGTTTTGGAGTTGGCTCCGTGACCTTTGCTTCCGCAGATGGAGCACACGTGGACGACGTCGCTGGAGTGTCTAGGTGATGTACACTTTCCGATGTTGAATGAGATACAGATTGGTGCTGAGGAGGACTTGAGAATGAGTTTGTCTGTCCACATGCTAACGACAGGGTTGTTTTTTGTTGTGTGAGTGTGTGTGCAACCGCTGGCTCTGTGTCCGAGTCTGCCACAAATGACGCAAAGGAGGTGCTCGGACGACTGGTCTCCTCTGCTCTTCCGAAAGGGTTTTCCGTCGTTCGACATGCCCGTGGACGACGAACCTTCTGGTTTGCGAGATGGATAAGGTTGGTAACGGCTGCTGCTTGAGCTTTGTTGAGCCAGAGTCGTCTTAATCAATACATTCTTCCATCGATCCAGGTAAGCTGCCTGGGATGGGAATGTATGCGTGTTGAAAAACCTCCTTCGAATCTCTACGTCGAAGGCGAGGACTGATTCGAAGTTGTCGCCGAATTCGTCCCTTGAGAGGCAGAAATCGTGATGATCTGTAAAACGTTGCACCGTGGCTTCGTCAGCTACTTGGTTAAGTAGCCTGATGAAGTTTGTTGATGCTTCGTAGAAGAGGTGAGCCTGCAGACTAGACTCCGGAGGGAAGCCGGACGACGTGTCCATGACGAAAAGTTTTGGGTCGTTGGTGACTAACCCCTTTTTCATTTTGACACATGAGGGGTCTTCATGGATTTTCCGAAGGGAAGAGAGCGTGAGTAGCGTGAGCGGAATATGAACTTTGGCTCTTGCTAGGTTTAAAAGGACACGAGGAATTTCAAATGCCGTTACCTCGCCGTCGACAATGCGAGTATTTGCCTCTGTGAAGACAGGCGCGTCGGATGTGGCTGCCGAGGTGGATGTATCGGATTGAAGAACTCCTTGTCCCTTAGCGGTCAACATGGCTAAAATGGACTTGGTGGTAGGTGTAAGTGAACCTATGAAGTCCACGGCGTCAACGATGAAGCTTGGGATGGAGGGCTTAGCAATGGAATCCTTCTCCCGGGGGTGCGATTCGTCGAGGAAGAGTTCGTCATCCGACACTTCCTCGATGTGGTTTTCGTCTAACCTAAGGTCAGCTCTCCTTAGATTGCGTTCCGCACGCGCGATGTTTTCCACTTCAACTGCATTCTTGTCGTGAAGGTTTACGCGTTTATTGTTATTCCTGACCAGAGATGACGCGACTCTGGACGCGAATTCGTCTGACAAAATATTGTCATCGTTCCGATTGAAAAGGTTGGTATCTTTTCCTCCGGCTCCGTAAGGACGCCCAGGATTCGGTGTGTCGCCAGAGGCCATAGCAACAGTGATTATAGTACTAAAAATTTGCTGTTTAAACCGAATCCTCAACTGAAAAAATGAGCGAGTGCGAGCGCAATAAGGAGGAAGATAAGATACACGTGTAGTCACGCGTTACAGCTTATGGCGCCCACTCGCTTAGTAAGCACTAGTTTGAGCTCTATGCTCGCAAGCTCGCTTTATAGCTCAAACTGCACGCTTACTACATCACGTCACGTGGTTGTTCGTTTCCCCTTTATATCATCGCGTCATGTATCATTTATCGCAGACTCGGGTCTCTCTCTTACCACTACATTCCCCATTTGTATCACGCTATCAAATCCACGGTTTTGTCTTGTTAACTTTGTCTGAACCGCCTCAGTGTTTCTCGTCGCCACCGCGACGAGCTTTCATGGAGACGGTAAATGGCAGAACAGGTGCCGTGCTGGTCATCATTATTAAAGGCATTAGTCATTGTTGGGCACTAGGAAAATGCTGTGCCACTGCTGCGACTGCTGCGCGGCATCTGCCGCGACGTTCGCTAAGCAGTAAATTGACTAATGACACTTGCTTGTTGCTTGCCATATCATACCCTGAACTCTGCATCGCTGCCTTGAAGGATTTTGCATGATTAATATAAAGTCACTTGGTTATTACTGACTCTCTTGCCGCTTTATCAACTTCTTCGTTATCCCTTCGAAATCTTATGTCCCGGCACATGTCTTGAACTGTGTTAATCTATATAGTGTTTTCCAACTTCCAACTTCCGAGTCCCATATTTCAGACTTGTGCATTCTGGTTTCTGAAATGATACGCAAATCCACCACTGAAGTATGTATTCTAATGCGCGAGTCTGCAATACTATGATGCACAACATAACTGCTGAAGGACTATGTATTACACAACTTGAGTTCATTTTCAGTAGTGTCGCAGCACCATGTTGCGGGCGTCGCAGTCGTCGCGGGCGTCGTGGGCACCATATCGCAGCACCCCCCAAATAAGGAAATAAGGTGCCCGCGACGCCCGCGACAAGGTGCTGCGACACTTGTCAGTACCTAGGGAATAGCATGGGTATCCTCAACCCACGTGGGTCGTGGGTGTGGGTACCTCTGGGGTGTGGGTGGGGGTCTGTACTTTGGGTACCCATACCCCTACCCACACCCTGGTGGTGGGTATGTAAGCAAACATGACTTATTTTGAAACTTAGTAACACACATTAGACATGAACCTTAAACTCTAAACCTAAACACAGCGCCCTTACGATCATCACAGCATGGATCCCACAGTTTTCTCAGGCGCTGCCAAGCATATTAAAAAACTCACAGACAAAGCTAAAGCTGCACTAGACGAGAAGCAGGAAGGCTCAAACAAACGAAAGAATAATGAAAGTGCTGCTACTAGTACACATCCCAAGAAGGCCAAGTCAAACCAGGCAGTAGTTCGTAACGAGGAAGAAGAAAGTGTGTTACATCATGATGCTATTGTCATCAGCAATGACGAGGGAGCAGGTATGAATACTGACGAGGACAAGGATGAAGTGAGTGCGGATGAGGAAGAGTGTGCGGAGGATGAACTCAGTAAGGCCGATTTCACTAGTCCAAGTAATACAAGCTCATATTAGCTAAAGAACAGTTAATGAAGGAATGGATCTCATCGATCTATGCTTTTTTTGACCCTACACCTGCTATAGAGTCCATTGATGGCCGTC